TATCATTATCAAAATTAAAGTCAAAGAGCCGTAGTTTACACTATCATTTCAGCGGTAGCGGCGCGGGAGCAGCAGGTTTTTTTTGCGTTAAATAAAATAGGTATAGCCGGAGTTCGAAAACAGCGACGCAGCGGACGGACAGTGCAGCGGGCTGGGAGCGGATGACAAATGGAAATCCTGCCGCTCCCGCGCCTCCTCTGCCCGCGGAATCCGAACTCTTAAGGGGCTAAAGGTCGCGGGCGGCGCAGGACCGGTCTTTGTGGAAATCCTTCGGGGAGACCTTTGTCCAGCAGTGGAAGTCTTTCAACTGAAACGAACGAACGAACGAAGGGGCTGATCCAAGTCATTTATGCACGCCATCTGCACTTCTGTTAATTTTGACACTACTTGTCTCTGGCATTACTCGTATAAGCACTGGGTAATAGCCAATATTATATCAATATTATTTTGTCGGCCGTTTGGTGTAGTGGTTCGAAACGGACTACTATTCCGGAGGTAGCGGGTTCGATTCCCACACAGTACAAACATTTGTGTGCATGAACATATTTGTTTGTATTGGACTGGGTATTTTCTATGTATAATAAGTATGTATTTACAAAAAAAAAGTATTTAAGTATGTTTATATCCGTTGTCTAGTACCCATAGTACAAGCTTTGCTTAGTTTGGGACTAGAAGCGCAGTGTAAAATGTCCAAGGATATTTATTATTATTATTTATTATATCACCTTTAAAGACTCTTGTAAGCAACATAATATCTCTTTCTAATAAGATGAATCATGAATCTGTGTGACATTTGAAACGGAGATAGGGCGCACCTACATAAGTCGTCATAATATTAAAATTAAATCAATCTTGTTTTAAAATATTCTTCTAACCTTTTAGATCCTGTATGGCATATAACAATAGGTATGTACATAATATTTAACATCACCGTAAAATTGTTCACGCTAATCATCTCAGATGTAATGATTCACGCTATTATCCAATTTTAACACGATAATCATATCAAAGTGATTTCCAAGAGCGTTCCAATCAATCGGTGATTATTTTGAACTTTGCTCGCCCATTATCATCTGTGAAGAATACAATCGATAAATATTCTGAAATATCATGTTGTTTCTATTTTATATTGGGGGATCTTATAATCTTATAGTTAATTCTGTCCATAGTTATGATGAGCACTACACTTGCTCCAAATTGATGGTTACGTATAAACTTCGTCGTAACTATAAAATATCTTAATTTTTCTTGAGAATTAAGAAAAGGCTTTGCATAGAATTTGTAATTGTTAGATAAGAAATTATATCAGTCATGAGCGTACGATCGATAGCATTTAACTGCCCTTTTCTCAGGTCACGTGGGGTCAGCGCAGTATATTTTCCTGCTCTATGCGGATTTGTGGGTCCTCATCAATTCATCCTCTCCTTTTTCAGTTAAATCGTTCTTTACCCAATCCATACATATTTTGTAAAAATTTCATTATGGAGATCAATGTCACTCTGTGCCAATCAGCGTTACTTACATTATTCGTAACGCTCTATGAGTTCATGAAGCACAAAACTATATTTCTCATTTAATACCTCTCTTGCGCACATCATTTTACGTATCAATAAATGGTAGTACCTAAGTAGGTAAGTACAGTACCTTACGCCTAAAGTTAGTAAACCACTTATGTACCTATTAAATGAAACATCGTTTGTCAGGTAGCTACAGCCAATTGCTTACATACATCACCCCTAGTATGATAATTATCATTCTTTGACGACGTCGCACGATTTTTAATCTAGTCATTACGAATTAATGCATAGTAAACTTTTAATCACTGACTATTATTGATCGTTTTATGGCTATTAACCCATAAATTGTATGATTAATGTTACACTTGTAAAGAAAAACTTTCACAGGCTNTTCTGTCCATAGTTATGAGCACTACACTTGCTCCAAATTGATGGTTACGTATGGGTGTATGCTTAAAAAACCTTCGTCGTAACTTATCTTAATTTTTCTTGAGAAATAAGAAAAGGCTTTGCATAGAATTTGGAATTTTGTTAGATAAGAAATTATATCAGTCATGCGCGTACGATCGATAGCATTTAACTGCCCTTTTCTCAGGTCACGTGGGGTCAGCGCAGTATATTTTCCTGCTCTATGCGGATTTGTGGGTCCTCATCAATTCATCCTCTCCTTTTTCAGTCATATCGTTCCTTAGGTATCTGATCCAACCATATTTTACAAAATTTTCATTAGATCAATGTCACTAGAAACTTGGTAAATAAGTGCTATAATTTATTCGTAACGCTCTCTACGAGTTCATGAAGCACAAAACTATCTTTCTCATATAAACCTCTCTTGCGCACATCATTTTATCAATAAACGGCAGTACCTAAGTTAGTAAACCACTTATGTACCTATTATATGAAACATCGTTTGTCAGGTAGCTACAGCCAATTGCTTACATACATCATCACCCCTAGTATGATAATAATTATCATTCTTTGACGACGTCGCACGGTTTTTAATCTACTCATTACGAATTAATGCATAGTAAACTTTTATAATCACTAACTATTACTGATCGTTTTCTAGGGCTATAAACCCATAACTTGTATGATTAATGTTACACTTGTAAAGAAAAACGTTCACAGGCTCGTAAGGAAAAACTAACCTATGAGATTGACAGCAATGGCTGCCGAAACATTGCGTTTGTGCATTGCTATGCATTTGTGATGCAAGAACCGGAATATAATATGTGAACAATCTGATCATTTTTTTTTTTGGGATTAGACTCTACGTATATTGGTTCACTTATGTAAGTTCGCTGCAGACACATGACTATTTATGCTTTTATCGTGTTGGGTTGCACAATTAGGTTTCATTGTTATATGATTGTCATCTTAAATGTATAGATCTTTATACGTACTATTGTAATTAACCTATTCATATAGTGAATTTTCTCATAATAGAAGCATTTATATTTAATAAGCTGTATGCCAAGTTACTTCAACAAATATTCTATCAACAATACAAGTAATTAGGTTGGTTTTCTGCCGCGAAGATCACCATAGAATAAAATATTATTTTGTGTAATTACGTAGTCATTATGTCGAAAATTCTAGGTTAGGGAAGAACGCTGTTTATACAGGGTGGAAACGTTAAGTGATCTCACTCGATTATTTCTAAACTATACAAGATATCGAAAAACTAATTACTGATTCTGAAATTGCCTCACAAGCTCTTTCAAACGGTACCAATAATAGGTTACAGAATAAACTGGATCCATCCGAAAATTCAATGTTTCCAGCTTCCATACATTTAGTAAAACCATTTAATATTAAAAACTATTCAAGATATTCAAAAACTGGTTACTGATCTTGAAAGTGCTTCACATGCTCTATCCAACGACATCGATAATATGTTATAAAATAAACAGCATCCATCCGAAAATTCAATGTTTCCAGCTTCCATACATTTAGTACAGCCACAGTCATGGCACTCATGTCTTGATAATATTACAGCAAGTAAAGGCTAAAACCAATGTTTTCCAAGAATAATTTTAAATGAGAATGCAATTTACGAGTGCATTTGAAGTGTATTATTATTTAATAAAAGAATTAATACTTCTAATATTGTTTGGCTGGCATACATTTAGTATGGAGGCTGAAAACATTAAATTTTCGGATAGATCCAGTTAATTCTGTAACCTATTATTGGTACCGTTGGATAGAGCTCGTGAAGCACTTTCAGGATCAGTAACCAGTTTTTCGATATCTTGTATGGTTTAGAAATAATCGAATGAGATCACTTATCGTTTCCACCCTGTATAATGCCCACGTAATTATGTGGTAAGAGACTTAAACCTTCACGACTAGGGAGTAGACTAGTTTCTTTGATTTATTGTGAATTACTTTTTTAAAAGCGATATAAGTGTGGTTATTTGGTAAATAATACAATATGATACTTTACGATTTTATAGTTATTTCATAATAAATCACATACGAGTAATATGATATGCAAGAATGAGCAAGGCGCGGAAGCGACGCTATCCTGGCGTTTTTTCCTCAATTGCTATCTGTCATTGGCAAGCTGACACTGGACAGCGACTCATGAGCCATATATCACAAATATTTGATCATTGCAAGCTGCAATATAGTAGGAATTGACCAAAAAAAAGTTAAAACGATTACCTACTTATACCCATAATATAGGGTTTTCGGTTTCAAATTGATAGTTATGAAGTTAGAATTAATGTAAAATGAATGCTTATTATCCAGTGATAGTTTTGATATGAAAATTTAGCTGCTAATGTAATCAAATGGTAAAGATGCATGATAAACATCAAATCAATTCAAATGACCCAGTGGCGTCTTCGCACTCGAAATGCATTTGACATAAACTGTGTACTATAACTGTTAGCTCGTTGTTTTACGAGAATCTTGAGAGCTATTCTATTGTACCCAAGATATAATGTTGCATATAGGGCCGCATTGAAATCTTGTGAATTTTGCTTCATTCCTAGACCGCAATTCAAACCTTAGAACAAAATCTAGAAAAGTTTTATGATTAGTTTTATTTTACTTGCAGTCAACCTAACCACAATATACACAATATTATACATATAATAATAAGTGAATAAGTCAGGTACGGAACAATTACACATATTACTAGCATTGTTTAAGATCCGAATATGATAAAGCACGTAGAATAGTATCAGGTAGTATCAAAAGTAAATACGTTTAATTTAACACTGCTTAAGAACAAAGCTTACATAAAGGTTTCAGGAAAAAGAAAGTGCACTTACAATTTTCTGAATATTTTATTTTTAGTGTTTTTCACCGAATTCAGAATTTATATTATTTTAGTCTCAGTAACACTATATTTTTTTTAAATATGCAGTTCGATATGTGTCCTAAGTCCGCCCCTGTGCAATGCAGGCTCCCCCAGCTGCATGCAATGGCTAGACAAACCCGCGTCTCTATAAAAGGGACAGGTGATTACAGCTCTAGGTACAATCCGGCGCACACGACACCGAAGCGCCACATGGGATATTGACAGTTCGCAACCCCTGCACTTGTGACGTCTCACGATGATGGTGAGTTTTTCAGCTGTTTTTTTTAGAAAATAAAAATTCAAATAGGAAAAGATTTCGACCGGTTTTTTTTTCAATATCGGAGCGTGTCGACTGTTGAACTTTTCAATTCAAATCAATTGGATGTCAGAGTTGTCAAACATCATCACAAATCATTCATTCAAGCAACATCCGTTTCACAATTGCCTACATAATTATTGTTAAAAAGACGGTCAGCTGCCCAAAGTAGATTTCAAGAATTTCATAATTTATAGACTTCTAATAACTTAACGCGATTTCAAAGGTCACCTAATAATTTATCCGTCTTAAAAGTCACGTTAGCGAAATATTATTTGGATACAAATTTTATTGCATGGAATAATATAAGGTCGTAGATCATAGGCAAATGGTGCTAATTTTGCTACTAACTGCAATAAATACTCTGTATAAAGTAATAATATACTAAAGCATTTACTAATGTTGATGATTCAGTTTGAAGACATTTTAAGAATATTTATGAGATCGAAATGCATTAATTAAACTATTGAATTGAAATATATGTAAGAATGTGCATCGGGTCACGCATTTATCTAGAATTAATTAATGTCTTAACATGGAAGTAGTTTTCGACCTTGATATAAATAAGCAACCAGGTAATAAATTATACAGCAAGGATGTGAACATCGAAAGAAATATAAAATGAGATGCGGAAAAAAAACTTAGTCATTCTTGAAAATTGGTGTTAGCCACAAAGCCATTGCTAGAAATATATTAACTAACTAGCTTATGCCCGAGGCTTCGCCCGCATAAATTTCGTTCTGTCACGGAAAGTTTATTTTTCCGGTTAAATATCTATTGCTAAAAGAAATTTTACAATGAGTTCAGTAGATTTCCCCTTACAAACTCACAAACGACTTCTTTATAATATTAGTATCGATAATAAATAATTTCTTGGGGTGGACGATAGCACAGCTACTTATAGAATGGTTTTATTAAATTACTATAAATTAGGGTTAATAATAGCGCTAACATCGGTTTGAAAATCACCAACAGACGTTGACCTATTTGGCCACTGACACGAGTTACGCATTTGGTTAAATAAAGTAATAAAACTTTTCCGATTTTGAAAATATTCGGTTGTAATTGAAAACTGACCAACTACTGGTTTTAGGAGCTGCAATAAAATTACCATAAGGTCGTATCCTGCTGAGAATGGTCGAGAAAATGACTAAATCTCGCAATCGGCATGCCTTTTTCATCCAAATGCCATTGAAATTAAAGATGTTAGAGCTGAGGTTGCGTCTCAAATAAACTTAAATCAATATACGGTAGACTTCGGTAGGGATGGGAGTCGTTTACAAGTGTACCTACCTGTATTGTTCCTCACGGGTTTATTAATTTAAAATTTAATGCCATAAATTTTAAATAAATAAACATTTAGGATAAGCACGTGTTATCATTTTTGTGATAAGTTTAAACCTTATTTCCATCCATTATCCATCGATCTTTAAGAGTTACAGCATAGGTATACCTAGGCTAATCTGATAATGTAAACTATATAACAGTTAAATTGATATCCCTGATGTAGTTTTTTCGTGAAAAATTTGTCTTTCCATCTTTGAGGCTATATTGATATAATATTTTCTGTTATCTTCTGATTACGACTCACTAAGCTGGGTTAGCAGTTTAGTTTCGCACGATTTTCCTTCGCACGAATGCGATTACTAGTTCTCAAAGGGGTCAATTCGCACCCGTTTTTAATATTTTTGATACATGCGGGCGAAACGCCTACTAAAAAAAAATATTATTGAAAGGCGACGTTTCGCACATTCGTGCGAAGGAAAATCGTGCGAAACTACTACTAACCCACTAAGTTAAATAAGTTGGTAGGTACTTGTTTATCTATATTTTAAAATCTTACACGTAAAAACATAACCTGAAGATAATTAAAAATATTTTAATATGTTTTAAAAATAATCAATATTATTAATAATTTTCAAGTGTACATCACTAGACGCAGCCAGTTTTTAAGGACACCAATATAGTAGGTGCATAGGGCATAGGTTCGTCGCCGGTCCATCTTATGCAACCTTTCGTGCATTTATTGCATGCACAATACTAAAGGATTACCTTAGTGATAAGCGAGTACCTATCGTCTCTCGGGTAACTTGAATAACATAATTGAATTATTGTAATTTAAAAAAAATGGATATTTAGATGCTAGATTTAATACAATATTACTTAGGAGTTTATTTGACGAAAAAAGAAAAAAATCTTATTGAATAGCAATTATTAATTTAATAATACGTATTATAAACTTAGGTATTCAAGTATCAAAACATTCACATTTGGAAATATTAGCTTTATTACACATAAATTAAATCTATTGATATTTAAAATAGCCATATAAATAACTTAGTATTCTTTTGTCTGTACTGTAGGTAGGTATCGTAAAATTAAAAGTTTTGTGATTTATTGCGGCAATGTAGGGCTATTAGTTTTATTAGCTTATGTTTATAACGTTTGTTTGGCTTTTGGGATTTATTACAAAATTTTATCATTTTGTTATTTATGTTGTTGTACGTAATGCTACCAATGTTTACGTGGGATTTTAATTGGACAATATTACAGTTAAAACAAATATAAAAGAATAGATAACAATTAAAAATTATACAATACATAATATTATTCTGTATAAAGTCCTGAATAATAATATCCATATCAAAATAATATTGTTTAAACTTTTCGGAGCAACCGAATCCGCCCCTGTTCGTTTTTTGAGCGTGCGAGCGAAAATTAGTCGCATATCTTTTGTTTTTGCGTCAAGTACATTGTCTTTTTGTGGATTCAGCCTTTTCCCACATCTCAGCCTCTATTGAGAAATACCGCGACACTGTACCACATCTGCATATTATCGTGTGGCTTTTCAAAATACCACGCATGAGACAGTTCCACTAGTAATTAAAATATTGACACTCGTCAAATGGTTCCCATGAAAGACACAAATATGTGTGAGCTAATTCTCGTATACGCAATTCAGTTCAATGACAGTAATTTTCTGCACATTTATTAAAAAAAGAACTTAGTTATTGCAAAATTACGCAGGCTACACGCACGGATAGGAAAAACATGTATGAAATAATGAAATGCGGACAGCCAACACGCGGATTAGATCCGCACGCGTTTCGCTAGATTTTAAGATTTTAGCAGACAAAAATGTTAAAATAGTCTGATGTCTTGTGAATTGTATAAATACATATACATAGGTACCTAATGATGTTTTATAAATATAATATCCTCATTAGACATTTCCAAAGGGATAGATGAAATTGCAAATTAAGAGTGATCTTTTGAATTTTTATGTCACAAATTTCAAAAACATCAAGATTACAAGCTCTAAATAAATTATTCAAAGGTTTAAGTGTATTGTGTCGTCAGTGTTACCAATTTTATGACTGTGTTGGTAATGGGAAAATTATGCACGCCTTATTTAAAATAAAAGAGTTTACTAACACAAGATTTAGAGGAATCTCAAGAATTCGATTATGAGAACGTAACATGGTATTGATTTAGATTTATCAATGGGATCGGATTGATGTAACAAGAAAGCAGAATTGGTGATTTCATAATACATGTAATATTGTCAGGATAATGGTAATATTTGATTCGTTTTTATTGGTACAGTCAGCGTCAAATAGTTCCTGACACCCAAAGTAGTCACAAAGTTCACCACTCACTTTATAAGTTTGTGTTGTCAACTTTCTGGTCACTTTGGGTGTCACGAACTATTTGACGCTGACTGTACCCCATAACAATATCAGCAGAGCGTTGGCGTTGAATTATCCAATAAAGTAAAAGCTTATCTCTTTGGAACAAAAATAATATTGTATGGTAATTTAATTTCTTTTGTTTCGAGAAATTCCATTCACATAACACTCGGTACGGAAACTTTACAATGTTAGTTATTCCGGTAATCGATTACTTAATGATAATGAACAGTGATGCGTAACAACCTTTGTAACTCTATCGTGCGCGTGTCGTGTAACGTTAACCTACTCTAAGTACTATTAGAGCTAAGGCCATGTCACGGCTGTTGATATTATGTTACTAATGTCAAGATATATGAAGACTATTTAATTTGAAGACAATAAAAAAGTAAAGATGTGATGAATACTTCTAACTTTATTCCATGTAGAACAGGGTACAAAAGGCGAGAGTAAAAATGGCGTTCAATTATTGCGAGCGGTGCTTATAGGTTCATGTTAAGAGATTTTAAAAAAATACTAGTATTAATTATAAAAGTGACGTAAAATGTAATTTTCGTGTGATCTACCAGTAACACCGAACTAGAAAACATTATTATAAGTTAGAACAGGGACAAAAGATAAAAGACACCAAATTTTAGAAGGTATAGTGAGTTTGTACTTCCTATATTGTCTCCAGAACATCGGTCACATTTACTTAATATCGAGAGTTATTTTAAAATATATAATTGTTAACAAGGTCTAAGAATCTTTTGTTTTAACAAAATATTTGGACACATCTAGAATAAGGTGGCGCGTGCGACTCGCGTGATCACCCGAAGGCCGCAAATGGACACAGAGTTGACCGAGTTGCTAATTGTTTTTATTTGTTCTGCAGACAATTAGCGGGTGGACATAGTGTTTGTTTACGCGCATGCCTGACTTAAATCACCACAAGTGGGACGCGCAAATGGCATGGCATTTAGTAAAATATCTTATTAATCTGACCTGCGCTGAGGTATCTAGCAGATTCAAGGTTGGGAGAGGATGACTCCTAAACTACTTAAAGTATAAAGTACTTATTCAAATCTCTTCAACCAAATATGTATAAATAGATAACTTAAAAAAGCATAGTCGTTTTTACAGTAGGTTCAGTCTTTATCTAATAAAAAATGTTAAATAATTATGAGCAAGGATCTCTTTTGGCAAAATAGTTTGCTAGAACACCAAGATTTTGGTTAAAACACTTTTTATACCTATTAGACCTCATTTTATCAATTAAGTATTATTATTTGTTTTTTACGATTAATTTACATATCTAAGTACTATCAAGTTTTGCGCGTGATTTTTGTAATATGTCACCACTGAGTCATGCAAACTCCTGCGCAAGATACAACTGCTTGTTCGTAGCTAGTTCAATCTTTGCGTAATTATAACAACAGGCGTCTGTTTTTTAAATTTTAATAAATCTGACTAAAGTTTGTAGTGTCATCTAAAAATAAAACAGCAAACAAGTTCTGTGTAAAGTACTTAAATACTAATTTTGTTTAAATCTTATCATTTTTGAGGCATTTAGTAGCAGTGTTATAATTTCACATTTACCTAATTCAACACTGCATGCTACAGCAACGGAAAAAATGATCTTGCCATTTAAGTAGGCGTTTTAAATAACATTTCACATTAGATTAGATAGATAGAAATAGGCAATATTTCATATAATATTCATAACACTTTCAAGTTGATACCTAGTTATCACCTAACACGGGGGTTCCTAAATGTGCGCGTTGAGTCGCAAAAACATGGCAAGTTCCCATGGCGTTACAGTCAAAAAAGTTTAGGAAGCTCTATCCTAACATACGAGTAAGCTTATCATTAAATTGTATTAGGAAGTTAAGTAAGTGAAGTTTTTTTCGGTTTTCAGAAAGTTGTATTTTTATTTGGAGTGGTGGCGCTAGTGAGCTCGGCGCCGCAGCAGAAGCCAGCCGACCAGGTCATCGCGATCATCAATCAGGACTTCGACCAGCAGCCCGATGGATCATATAGATACAGGTCACCAGTTTATCCTAATAAACAGTATTGAAAACTTCGAAATAATGTAAAACTTGATGTTAGGGCCTTACATTACAGTACTTACAGTGTCGTTGAAAACTGTTCAGCACTATACCTACAGGGTGGAAATGATAAGTGATCTCACTCGATTATTTCGAAACTATACAAGATATCGAAAAACTGATCACTGATCCTGAAAGTAAAAAAAAACATAATACTCATAAATTTTTGCAAATAGGCTTTTAAAAACACTTTTACACGTCCCAGTATTAACCCTACCACTGCTTCGGGACAATAATCCTATCCAAACTTTTTTATCCAATACATTTCTGTTCTTTTGTCTTTTACTCGTACAAGTGAACTCGTATCGTATCACTACATACTTGCTTAAAGTTCTTTTGTAACATCAATTTTCAGTTACGAGACTGAGAACGGTATCAAAGCTGAAGAGACCGGGTCTGTGAAGAAGGCCAGTGGTCCCGACACCGCCGACGTCATCATAGCGCAAGGCGGCTTCAGCTACACGGCGCCCGACGGCACCGTCATCAACTTGAACTACATCGCCGACGACGAGAACGGTTTTAAGCCAGAGGTAATTATAGTGAAGATATAAGAAAACATAAGAAAGAATAGAAAAAGTTTATTGACACAGTAAGTACATTTAAAACAACAACAATGCAACAAAACCAAAAACAATTACTAAGCCACTACGGTGCCAATAGGCCGTTCAGCATTTATCTTGACATGCTTGTAAGGGCATGTCAAGAAGCTGGTCTTCCGCAGTCGCTTTAACAAAATACTTATGTTAGTATATTATGATAGTATTATGGACACTGCATCGCAGGCAGTTTTGATAGGTACTGTTTTTCAACAAAAATGCGCTATCGACTCTACATATCTCTGGGAATCTTCTTGAACATCTCTGAGATTTAAATAATGAAGTAACAAATAGATTGTGCCAACTGTACCAAATCAATTACCTACCTAAGCAAAGCCGGCTAATACAAAACGAGATTCGAAGCTGCAACCGCAAACCACAAGGTGTAGGCGGCGGCTGTCACCATCCAGATTTTAAGGGACCGTATTAGAACGCAAATAAAATCAACAAAATATAAATACAACCGTCACGTCGTCTAATTTATTTTTGTTCTCCATCAATTATGTTGGCAGTCTTATAAAGATTAATTACTTCAAGAACATGATTTTGTGCATATCATTTGGCCGTATCAAATCAAATGACAAGTAGATCTTCTTATTGCCTTTTAAGCTGCTTGTAAAGGCCATACTTAGTTTGGGCAAAGCAAAAAATACCGAACTATTGACATTCAAATGTAATGCTATTTTTACATACAAAAACAATAAAAGTTCAAGTTTGTTATGGTTTTTAAGAGAGTTTAAATGTTAAAACTGGATGAAGTTTGGATTCGTGATCCGGACACAAAACGCATATATTTTATATGTATATTGATAAAATACTCTAATCACCTTTCTATTTAAATGTCAAAAAACAATCAATTACGCGTAAGATATAACTTATGTCTTTTTTAAATAAGCACTCAAAGAAGTTGCGTTTATTTAACAATTTCCACTTTAAAAATAAAATTGCAGACACAAAAGCTACATATTTAACGGGCACACAGTGTTATTTTTGTCACGCAGACATTTGCTTAGTAATAAAATAAGCATTCAAGGCTGTACAATGTCCCACTGAGCCTATGCGTCACCGCTTCTTACATGTGAATACCACGCGATGAGGCATTGAGGCATTGCTGTCAAAATACCTGCATATTACTGCTGAATAATTGAAAAACTTTCACATTTATCTCAAGTACTTTTATTTCTAGTGAACTAAAAGTAATTTTCGTAGAAATCTGTAAAAAATTCACAAATAGATTTTAATCTATCATCAGGTCATTTAGTCTCCACTGCAGGAGCACGACCCTCTTTATATTAATGCACCAGAGGCCATTGGAAGATTTGGCCTACACTCCCCTTTTTATTATTTTAATATTTGTATACCTATTCTTGAAGCAAATTATTAGTGTAGATATACTTATAGTGCATTGAAGCTGAGCTTTAAAGTTTTATCATGGGGAAAAGAAAATTCAATTTAACTTTTTTTAATTTTTCCAGGGTGCCCATTTACCGACTCCACCGCCAATACCGCCGGCAATCCAAAAGGCCCTGGACTACTTAGCCACTCTGCCGCCACCGCCTCCCTCGAGGAACTAAGCCGGACCCACAGTGACCCTGACCTTGTCTACGATGACCGCATTGCCCTACCGAACCGGCCACCGAATGCTCATACCGCTTTAGAAACAATTTAAAGTACTTGTTATTCCAAATTATTTTAAGTCTAACAATAAAGATAAATTAGATTTTAACACGTTGTTATCAAAGCGGTACAACTCAATAATCTTAACAATGTATAAAGCAATAAAAAATCAAATAAAAATGAACGCATACAATGACTGAACTGTGATAGTTACCGATGATAGAGCGGAAAGAAAATGTTTGTACTATTTATTATTTATTAATAAACGCATATTCAGTGCCAAAGAAGCATTGCGAATAATATGAAGTTTGATTTTGATAGTTAAGTATAAGTGATTCGGATGACAATGTTTTGTAGGAGCTGACATTGTTTGTTGATTAGCATCCCAATTGCCCATCAAATGTCATACACGTGTTAAATGTTGATGTCATTTCCTTCAACATACGAGTAAAACAACGAGAGAACAGCCGATTGTGTTCATGAATCATGACATTATCATCAAATTCACCAGCTTTATTAACCTAAACTATGTGGAAATTTATTCAATTAACTTTTTAAAAAAATAAAACCGACTTCAAATGCGTGAACACAAAAAAAAACTAAAAATTAAAAATATTGCGTATAAAAAAGTTCATCTCCAATTTTCCACCCTTGGGGATGAAATATTTTCTTCAAATTCACATGAAACCACCCTTTTGATAATACCTATTCAACAAAAAAATAATCGTTCAAATTGATTTATAATCGGCGGAGATATTGCGTATAAAAAAGTTCATCCCCAATTTTCCACCCTTGGGGGTTGTTTTTTCTATTATTAAATTTAAATGGGACCACCCTTGAGGTATTACCTATACGCCGAAAAAAGATTTGTTCAAATCGGTTCATAATTGGCGGAGTTATCGCGTAACAAACATAGAAAAAAAAAAAAAAACATACGGGTCGAATTGAGAACCTCCTCCTTTTTTGAAGTCGGTTGAAAATATTAAATTCTATCAAATACCATAAATACCGATAAACATAAATTGTGGCTTGTTGATAGCAAAGTGAAGGTATAATACCTACCATGATTTTACCATTGGTTTTTCCGGCTCACTCTATTTATAAGTCAAGGACTGTCTGTATGTATGTCTGATTCTGGGATCGTCGCTATTTCTATAAAATTCAAAATGTGTCTTCTTTTCTTTGCTTTCCATTTCCTAAAAGTTTATGCATGAAAAACCAAATTAAGGAGTCTTCTTCAATTTTGATTGTTTATAATAGTTGACAGTCCAAATATTGGTCATTGATCAATGATCCTTTACGTTGTTATACCAGAAGATAATTATTGCCAGGTGCGAACTTATTAAGAGCGTTCTAAGGACTGCTGCAATGTTGTAAATTATTTCGGAATAGAGCTGACTAAATCGTATTTCATAACTTTACACAGAATAGATCATCAGAGTTTTTTTCCGAGAACGCGTCTTAGCAGGAAAGCAAAAGTGATCCCAACACTGACATTCCTCTACAAACCTGTTCGAAGTGTGCGTCAAGGTCGCCGATGAGAATACTTGCGATTCACCCACTTGAAGTAGGAAGCCCACATTAGCTAACAATAGACAGAGAGATGGCACTGGAGATGCATAACTTCACTTGATTTTAATTGATTCATCTTATAGCTTCCCCGTGCATTTGTTTCTAATATCGTCGTTGAAGTGACAATACCTCCTAACATTTTTTAAGAAATCGATTTTCTTAATACAATAGGCTTAAAATTTCATTCTCGTGGACTTTTACCACCTTGAAATTTTTCTGCTAACTGATATTTATTTTTAGATACCAATAAAACTGTGGAAATGGCTGCTATACTTCGTTCGTTCGTTTTAGCCAAATGACGTCCACTGCTAGACAAAGGCCTCCTCCAAGGTTTTCCACAATGCACGGCCTGCGCTGCCCGCATCCTAATTAATTTATAATTAATTAATTTAGAATTGCTAAAATCAAGACAAGTGGCAGTGGGCGGGGCACATAGATCGTAGAGACGATGGCCGTTGGGGCAGAAAAGTTCTCGAGTGGCGACCACGGGCTGGAAGACGTAGCGTGGGCAGGCCTCCTACTAGGTGGACCGACGATCTGGTAAAGGTCACTGCTTTACTTATTCGAAAGTAATATTTACGTGTTTTTTTTCTACCTCCTGTAAACCAAAAACATAAATTAATTAAGTTAGGAGATATTGTCATTTCAACGACGATATATGAGATTACCATAAATGAGTAGTATGCATACGTAGTTCTTCTAATATTATTCCATTTTTATTGAATGAAATATCAATATAATGTGTTTATAAAAGCTCTGCTCTGGAAACAACCTGGAAAATTCTTAACGATAACATAGCAAATAGATACGTAATTAGTAATGAAAGTTACAAACTATAGTCCTTCGTCCAAGTTATCACATATACACAGTTGGGTATGAAGTACGCATACCAAACATTGCATTTGCTATCAGCATATTATTAAATACATAGGTACATTGTAACAGTTTACCGACAATGGATGTTTAAGTAGTTTGTGCAATTTGTAATTGAACAAAGTGCCAAACTAAGAACTTGTCACGACATTATGTGTACAAGCGTTTTGTATTTAACGTCTTATGCTAATTTACATGAATACACACTCCTTTCAAAACTTTTTCATTTACTCATATCAAGAACTGAAGCTTAATGAATGAATGCCAGATTGTTTCTGATTTGGCAAATTATAGTGGCAAATTATAGATTACGCAGGTCGCTACCAACCGGGTAACATGGAAAGCATTGGGGGAGGCCTATGTTCAGCAGTGGACGTCCTATGGCTGAGATGATGATGATGATGATGAAATTATAGATTTGGATGGTTGAAACTGGGTTTTATATTAATTACCGATTAATGTAATTTAGGTAAAAGGTGTCAAGGCATATTTATCTATTACCTTAAAATTATTTTGTGATTGGTATTTTAATACGTTCAACCAAACAAATCCAAAAACAAAACCGAAATATTTTCTGAAAACATAGATTTCAGGTATTCGGGGTTCGTTACACTTTCTCACGTCCCTATAAAGATTCAGTCACAGGTTCAGCAGGGGTGGTCTTGGTAGCGAGATACTTGAGGGCGCGGGCGATGGCCGGAGGTATGGGCGGGGGCGTGGGCAGGTGCGCGCCGACTGGTCTGTAACCATTCTCATCTGCTGTGTACGTCAGGCTGTAGTCATTGCCGTCTTTTCCCTGAAATCAAACAGTATTTTTAATGCATTTTAAGTAGCTTAAAAATCTTCTACTATTATTATTTCTATCAAATCTTCTAAATATTTCCCAGGCACGAGTTCATTTCGTTTTACTCGTAAGTTCTACATAAATCTGTCATATTATAAACCCAGGTGGAGAAAAAGGGTTCTCTTCAAACTACGTCTTGGCAAATGTAGTACAATAAGACCTTGATCCTTCGATGGACCAACGACTTTAAGAATGTGAATGTTTTAGGTCGAATAAATTGAATTTTAGGCAATTAATGATGTGTTCCTTATACCAGTGGGATAGCTACTGCAGAGAATGGTGCAAAATTAGTCACTTGGGTAAAACCGTTGCTGTTATAACCTGTGAAGTAGTGAGTCGCACATGTTTTCAGAATATTACATTATCCTATCTCCATTTGCATTACCGTAAATTGAAGTGTAAATATGTATTACGAGTGATAATAAAATTTGTAAAATTACGGTATTCGAATGTTTGACGTCACTTAGCCACATAAAGGTTTTCGTGATTCTATTAAAGTGCATGTCATATCTAAATATAGTCAAATGTTTTTCTTCTTTTGATATTCGTTTTTCTACTTTGTACTCGAGTCTTAATAATAATCGGATATGGGCAGAGCAGGATAATGGACATCGTTCATCGATTACGTCAATGAAGTAAAATAAACGAATCGATACTTACAATATACGAAAAGCTGCCTTGTACTGCTTCGCCAGTCTTGTCATCATCAAACGATTTTAACTGTCCTTTCATGGAAGCCCTCGTGCCATCACCACCTTCATAACTGTAAGAATAGGAATGACGTAATTAATGAGATATCGGTTTAACGGCCACATGGACTCGTGATTCTCGTAACAGACTAGCCAGGGGTGGTTGGGGATTCGAATCCCGCCGGGGACAAACATTGTATAATGAGATCATAATTACGTATATCCCCAGAGTCAAACTATTATACACATAGTAGGTACCTATAGTAAATTAACTCATATTATTTATTCAAAGATAGATTTCCTAGGAAGAAGAAAAACATCGATGAAAGAACAAGAGTCTTTACAGTACAAGCTCTCATTAGTTTAGTCTGATGCTTAAACTATTGATTTAAAAACATCGTGAATAACAATACCTGTAATGATAATTTCCTGAGTACGCAAACACGTAATTTTCAGATTGAACTATAGGAACTATAGGATCCCGTTCCTTTGTTCTTTTAGGGAATAAAGTACTAGTTTCAGGTTGAGTTGGTTCACTAGTCTTATTTTCCTGCTGAACGTTCCGACTTTTATCATCGTTGTTCTTTGTATTTGATTTATTTAACTTTCGTTTTCTTTGTCGTCTATTACGTGAATGGCTTTCAGTAGAGGCCATAGGCTTTGGTAAATGTTGAGGCTCATCGTATATCACAGCTACAGGTATGGTCACCTCGTCTCCTGAATTAGGTTCTTCAGTTACACTAAAATGAGCTTTTAAAACTTTGCTTGTAGTTGTCTCACTCAACGCAGTACTTGTTTCAGTGGTGGTCGCATCACTCACATCTTGATCATCAGATTTTGGTACATGCACATCTGGTTCTATAGATTTTTCTTGCCGGTGGTCTTCTTCGTACACTATCGATACTGGAACTGAGAAAGCAGGTGGATGGTTATACTCATAAATGTCTCTCACTACTCGCTTCACATTATGGTGGAAGTTATCACGTTGTATAGCACTGTTAATATTCACCAATGCAAGTAAAATAGGCATAGACTTTAAAAATAACATTATAATCATATACAAATATTACAACAACATTACAAAGGCACGATCAAAATGGAAATGAAGATGACTCAATCGCTTTACTCAGGCTAAGTCTGTTTTGTATTAATAATCAAAACACTAGTCTGACAAGATAAATTAATTATTTCGTAGTTGAATGGATTTTCTTATTAGTAATGACATCAACGTTTGCATACAAACCAGGAAGCAAATAAGGAGATGACACAAAGCCCACATTGATTTCGGAGAACCATAAAACGTTATAATTATGTCTAGTAAAACTTTAATTAAGAAAAGCTTTAAATAACTAAAGTCTGTTGATAAATAGTCGATCTGCGTAAATATGCAGGAAAAGCAGCCTATAATTTAGAACCGAATGTATTTTATTCTTTAGCATCTTTATATTTATTCTTAATTGATGAAATATAATTTATGTAAGGTTTAATATTATTATTTTAAATTGAATAAAATAACCATTTAGGTACTTAACATACTTAATGAATTTGAAAATATATTAATCAAATATTTAATATTTTCTAATGTTCACTTTCTTAATTTTATCCACAGTTACTAAAACAATACGGGTACTAAAATTATTACAGGTGTACTTATTATGGCCCTTATAGTGATGTGCACATATCCCACTTTTAATAAACAAAATTTTTATTTTGATAACGATGTCAAGCTTTGGATACAAACACTTGCATAACTATACTCGCATGTATAATGTCATCATACGTGTGTACAGTAACGCATGGCTGAAAAGGTAAGCATCAAGATTTCAGTCTAGGCTCGTGGACCTTGCATCGAGTGGCTAGGTTTAATCACGGCTATCGTCACTGATAATGTCTCATCGTTGACACCTCAACGATTGTGCAATTTTCCGAAGAACACATCAACCAAGCGCTAAGGTTGAAGTATTTAGCGTACACTAAGGCTCCACCGGAAGGCGGGGGGAGGGTAGTGTAAATAGATGAGGCTTCATATAAGTAGTCATGAAGTCTGGAGTATCATTTATCAGTGTTTTTCTGGAGTGAAAACAGTAACGATGTTTTTTAAATTGGTTTGCTTGTGCTCAGTGGCGGCTTGCGCCCTAGCGAAGCCGGCCTCGACCGACGTCGTCCCGTTGGAGAACCGGCAGCCGACTGTGATCCCGATTATTTCCCAGTCTGAGGAGTTGGAACAGAATGGAACATATAAGTTCAGGTGGGTAGCTACAAATAATAAAATTATTTAAGTTTAAAAAAGAGTGTCGGGACTTGGACCGACTATTAATGTACGTTAACAAAAAGAGCTTTGTCTAAATTCCGTGGAAATGGCTACGTTAAAATTCATGCCTACAATAAAAATAATTCGTCGTTAAATATTCTAATAACTAAGCATTATTTACTTACTTAGTTACTATGCTTAAATTAAGCTAATGAGTACAGTCTTTTGCATAATTTTATTGATCAAATATAATATGATTAATTTGTCAGCCTTTCTTAAGATGAATGACAATAAACTTTAATAATTGAAGGCCTCTTTAAATTGGCTCTTAAACTTTATGTAAAGCACGTGATGCTAAAAACACTGCTATATGGTTTAGTCGGTGTTATTTTATACAAAGACGACTATCGCCTTAAGTGCTAATGATTTTATCGTAATTGTTTCAGTTACGAAACCGGCAATGGTATCAAACGTGAAGAGGTTTCATACGATAAAGTGGTGCCCAAAGCGAAGGGCCGCTCTGCTGGTGGCAGCGAAGAAAACGGTAGCGACGNCAGCGACGAGAGTGATGAAATCCACGTTCAGCAAGGATCATACTCGTACACTGCCCCAGATGGCACTGTAATCACAGTCAGGTAATAAAAAGCGAACATTCCCTTAGAGTTGAGTTTTTTTTTCGTCGAAGTGCTATCAGTTTGCTTTTACTATCGGAGCTAGTGGGTTACTCCGAGATCAAGGCAGTGTTTATCTTTGAGATACTAGTTTACCTACTATTACGAGGTGATCTAGCTAGAGTAATTAAAGTAACTAAATTAAGACATATTGCGTGTGTAATTTGAGCAGCAATAACGTAGTTTTCAATAGTTTTATGGTTTACTTGATTTCATCAGGAGATGAAAATCAAGTGTTTATTTAATAGGACAACCAACAAGACATACACTAAAACAATCTTTATAACGTTTTTGGAACATAATATAAATGCTTTAATTTACAATTTAACAGAAAAGATTTACGATTTATTTTCTTTATACTTATTTAGGTAAGTTTATAATTTGTTGTGGTGAATAGCAGTCATATTACAATTTTAGTGAGTTCCATGTAGGGACGTACGCCAGAATTGTTCGTTTCAGCCAAATGATGGTCGACTCAACACTCAATTATGAATTTTAGTTTAAATCGATTTGATGGTGGCTCATATAAAATTTGTTTCCCAGGTACATCGCTGATGAAAATGGCTTCAGGCCAATTGGTGATCATCTTCCCAAAGCGCCCGCTTTCGTGCAGCAACAGATCGATGCCAGTGCCAAGGAAAAGTCCGGTCGTGCTCTAAATGCTGACAGCGCCGCAGCTCCCTCAGCCCCAGTAGAAAAAGCTCAAGCCGCCCCAGGCGCAGCCGAACCCACCCCTAAAGAAGTTGAGTCAAGAATCAAACCAGAAGCACCCGCAGCTGAATCGTCTCCAGTTTCAACGCAGGCCCCAGAATCATCTACCACTGAAGCCGCTACAACAGCTGCCTCAGAAGAATCTTCATCAACAACTACCGCTAGCTCCTCTGAATCATCTTCAACAACTGCTGCATCAGAAGTTAGTTCAACTACTGCCTCTGAGGAATCATCGTCAACTCCAGCCCAGACCACTACAGAGGCAGCATCGAGCGAAGCTGCCTCAACCTCAGAAGCAACTACAACTGAAGCAGCTAGTTCAACAACCACCGCGGCCTAATTTTAAATACTGATTCCATTGATTTGGTGCCATCACTATTTTTATGCGTTCTAATCCTACTACAATATCCTATTATAAATTAAGTTTGTTACGGGTGAACTGGATTTCAAGTTGATCGTGATACAATCAATTTGTCGAGTCAATTTATTTGTTATTTATTTTGACGTTTTTATAATTATATGTAACAAGTTTACATATACTAACGTGTTTTATTTACTTTTTGTGTTACCACTTAAAAAAAAGAAGCGTCACTGGTCGAACAATTTACTCTGCGTGTCAGTTAGCAGACAGTGGAGACAGCGGTGACTGAGTTTCTACAAGTTTAACACCAGTGTTGTCAACAGAAGTTCATTTTTAAAGAAAACCAAACGGAGACAAAATGAAAAAATTTAATAGTGACATATCTCCATTCCGAATGTAGTACGGTTGACGTGACCTTTGAGTCGTGCACTCTGCCCATAAATAACGATGGTATGTGCATTGTCTTAAAGCATGCAGTTTCCTGCGAAGGTCTGGTGCACTTCATATCTAGATCAGACTGTAGGTACCACAGGTTTTAACGAGCTCGGCTATTCATATATTCATCTGCTTTAAATCAGTCATACGTCCACGGCTGTAGTAAATTGAACTTCTAAACAAATCAAGTGCATTTACCAACTACTTTTAATTTTACTTAGAACTTTATGTTTTATTTTATTACACGAATTACCTATCTACGCATATTCGAAATAAGTTTGAAGATTAACGTTATAAAATCTTGCGATGAACATTATTAATCGTTAGACCAAAATATCTAATCGATAGTTTAAATTATGTAGGTACTAGTCAAATAAAATGGTGGCTTTATACATTTAGAAACCAGTGTAAACGAAAGCATTCCTAGAGACACCCTTCGCGTGCCAGAGAGGATAATACAAATTGAAATATCGTTTCTAGTCAAATGTCAAGATCAGTTCGCGTCCCCAACGCATAGTCGTGAAGAAGCGATCGTTCCTCCTCTCACTTTTATTGAGTAACAAATGACATGCACTGCATTTAATGCTAGCATTAAAGAAGTAATTTTACATACTAATAGATGTTAATTGGTTCGTTTACATTAAAAGATCCTATGTATTTCAACTTCAATAATTAAACACGATCTAAATGTAGGTAGACAGAATAGATATATTTTAAACAAATTATATAATTAATTATAGATAATATTTTAGATAAACAAGATAGGTTTTTAAGTTACTAGCAAATGTGATCGTTATTTTTTTAGACCATGAGACAGAGTAGTTGAACTCAAGTGCAATTCACTTTCCGTACAGAATCTTGAATTTTCCGTAATAAATCGCTTCAGCCTTATTTTAATACTATAAAGTAAAAAGGAGAAGGTAACATTCAAATCAAATGTTCAAATTACTAATGATAGCTACTTTGTAATGCTGTCTTGAACTTTGAGGTGTCTAAAGTAAAAGAGTCTTAAATTAGCATCGTAAGAGATTTTATAGGTTGCAGCGTCTAGTGATGATCTGTGTTCATATTTAATTTACATCTTTTTTTAATTTTTTTTTTTGTTTATCATATTGTAAAATGTTTTGCTTTACGGGTTTATAAAAAGCACCCAATATTTAAACAGTAAAAAATAAAAATAATAATTTAGCAAAAAATTGCGTCTGCATAAACAATAAACATGTATAAATTAAATAAAACTAACAGTATTTTTAAAGCTTAGTCTCGTCGAAAATATTATACTGTTGTAACTTAGCCATTTCTTCTTCTTCTGCCTCGCCTTATCCCATTACGCGGCGGGGTCGGCTTCCCCAATCATGCGCCGCCATACTGAACGTCTTGTTCATGGAGTCCCAACACTTTCATGTTATTTTGGAAATTCGTCAACATTTATATAAAATAATTATTGTTATGAAAAATGTAGAGACTAGTGTACCTCTTTATTATAGAGTATAAATGAATAAATATCGTACTTCAGTATCTTAAGAGACTACATTTTGTGCAATATAATATGTTACGCATACGTGCCCCTTTGCATTTGGTTTATCTACATCACTAGTCGGACAGAACGTTCACGGTCGAATTTGCAACAGCACGAGAATGCATAGAAGCTGTATGGCGAATGATGAGCACTTACGTAAGCTGAGTAGAGGTGAGTGACACCAGCGCGTGCCGCATGGTGCTACTCCCTCTGCGAATTCCGTACTATTGTAATTTGGTGGCGTTTGTTATTCATTATGCAATGAACCCATGCGTGTAGTGTTATATTATGTTATACGATCAACTCCAATTTATCGAAATTGTGTCGTTGTGATTACTTCGGAGATACAATGTCAACAATAATATAATAGAGTCAACCTATAAGCTTTGTGTGGAAGCTCTAATTGATTATCATCCTACTAATATTATAAATGCGAAAGTTTGGATGTCTGAATGTCTGGATGCCTGGATGGATGTTTGTTACTCTTTCACGCAAAAACTACTTACTGAACNGAACGGATTTTGATGAAACATTACAGTATTATTCTTTATAACCCAGAATAACATAATTTGGCTATAATTTATGACGATCTGTGACAAACGAAATTTCACGCGGTCACCCGCGTGGCTTGTGGCTTCACAGCCACGGGCAAAAGCTAGTATGACAATACTTATTTAAAAATATTTTATTACCAACCAGCTGTCCCGACGAACTTCGTACCACCATATTTTTATTTTTTTTAAACTGTGTGTTTTTTCACCGTTTAATTAAACCTTCCCTGAACTTTTACAAAAATTTCAAGATAAAGATTAGGGAAATCAGTACGGCCGTTCTCGAGTTTTTTTGCTACTATTATGTATTCTATGGTTTTAGCCAGACTAAAGAACAGCAATTCATTTTTATTTATAAGAAGAAGAAGATTTTGATGAGAAAATGATGAACAGGCTGAGGGTGGAAGCGAGTGTCACCTGGAATCCTCAATCACAGAATAGTATTATCGGCTAATAACTTCGACATACTTAATTACTCCACGGTGAAGGTTATTGAGCTTCTTGATGTGCAAGTGCTAATGTGTGATTGCAATATTCTATCTCGTATCGTGATTCTAGCAGCCTCAAAAATCTAAAATACATACTTTTACTGCTATTAATATGTGCGAGAGAAGCGTCTGCGCACCCTTTTGAACTCATTGCACAAGTCTTGATAACTGATACTAACGTGTTGCTACACTGACGGGCACTACGCCTACCATTTATGTAACTACCAAATGCTGGTCTACTGTCAGTAAGTTGTTCAATTAATTGTTATTATATTACCGTTTTTACAGCTGCCAATTTGTAATGCCATAACATGTTATTAGTCGATCAAAACAAATAATAGTTAATGTTTATTCTCAAAATGATATTATATATTCCATAGTGATATAACAATGTACCTAAATGTTTAGCTTTAATCGATGCATTAGCATAATTGAAAAGCCTTACAATACGTGTATATTCAATTAATATTCATTTGAGATTTCAAACACAAATAAGATGCGTCGATGCTGTTGCTAGTTGCTACTTGCTACGCATATTAATAAATACCTAGATAATTCTAATTCTTATCTTTTATATTTAGGAAAAATCACCGTGAATTTTTGGTAGAGTTGGACTACTCCCAATCTTCCCATGAATGTTGTGAGAGGAGACTAGGAACAGAATATATGAAAACATCAGGCCTCCCAATCCCTATAGCGCAGAGTGTCACGACGTGTGTAGATTAAGTGGAGAGAACCTGCTGTTTATGCGGTAAAAGAAAACATAATACAAGCCTACTTGTATTATGCCCAGTGTGTGGTCGAATACTTGGTTATAGAAAAATGAATGAAGTTCACTTCTTGTTACGATATTTAAAAATCGAATTTTAAATATTTAAATGACACAAATTAACTTGTTATTGCTTTGTAGTCTCAACTGATTATAATTAGGATTCCATTATTGTCTCTTATATCTTCCGTTTTTAGGCAAAGATGTAGTGTGGGCATGCCCCCCACGTGGACCGACGATCTGGTGAGGGTCGCGGGAAGTATGCGGGCAGCGCAGGACCGGTCGTTATTGAAATCCTTGGGGGCCTTTGTCCAGTGACGTCATTTGGCTGAAACGAACGAACTTTTATTTTTGTGGTATTTTCAGTTTATAGGCTGGGACTAGGACTGGTCCTATACAAATCTGGACACAATACATGTATATGGATGAGTCAAAAGTAAACGTAAACTACGATTGTCAGTCAACGTGTACAGTCATACCCCATTTTTGGAACTTTGAGCACGTGAAAACATAACTTTAATAAGGCATGTAAAAAGAAATACAATTAATACTGAACAGTTACAACTAGAGTTGAGTGTCAGCTATTAAATACCTTGGAGGAACGAAGCCGGCAACAACCTATGAAAGTCATGAGTACTAATCGAAATGTCCAACGCTCTATTGAACCGACACATAAGTAATCACAAAACTTTTTCTAGCAACTAATCATAGTGATACGAGTAGTTTGATAATAATTTATTGGATGACAGCTGCGATTGGGTAACTCAACAAAACGGACCACAATTCTGCGTTGCAGAAAATCAAAATTTATAAAATTTTCATTCGTCAACTCGTCCCGCGTTAATGTTTTTATATATTTGTTTCGGCAACTCTACCAGCCCACCACCAGTACCAGTTGATAAGGTTTAAAGTTTCACGCATAAAGTAAATGGGAGGAGTAATAAACGAATGTTTTAATTAATTTTCATTTTCTGCAACTCGTACAAAATGGCCCGTAGGCTTGTGGTCCGAGCTGGTGAATTACTACTGCGATTGTGGGATTAAGGCTAAGTTGCACCAACTTTAACCGTGACTTTTTGTATGGGGTTTGATTGACACATTTTTGACGTTTGTAACATAACTTTATTAAAGTAAGATGGTGCAACCCACTCTTAGTTTTAACGCGTTTGGTTGACGAAATTCTAATCTATCAAATTCAAATAAAATTTATTTTATGTAACAGTTTTAGTTAGCATCACGAAAATTCTAGCCTCCTTTTATTTATTATAACCTCGCTTTCTATTATGACATCTTCTCGCTAGGAATAGTAAGTATAATGCATATCAACATTAGACTTGTCTCTGAATCGGACAAAGTAACCTTTTTACTAAATAGTAAGTACCTATTTAGAAATATTTTTAGTTAGTAAGTTCTAAATTGAGTCCAGAAGAACAGAAATCCAATTATTTTTTCAATATAAAATAAAATACTCCATAATTGGTGTTAAATCCGCACCATGGCCATAATTGATGATGTTTCAAAATGCTGTCCATTAAGAGCCTTGAGAGGCACATAATTAAATTCCATCTTTGTCCGACACAATTCGTAGGTTAAGTAGGTACCTAATTATGTGTTTATTAAACACAAAACCTGTACAGCATTACAAAAATAGGTTGTTTTTAAGAAAATTACATGTATTTAGTTGAATTTAAACAAGTTACATAGCTGTCCTTAATTTAAGAACAGTACCTAATTTACTTATCAAAATACGTACGTATCCTATTTTTTCCATCACACTTATATTTCATTTAGGACCTATTTTTAACATGCTTAGCAGTGATACTCGTATGTGGGTGATTACGCGATAACTCTAGAACTTTACATACACAATATTGAAAGCTGAAACGATTCCTTTGATATCAATCTTGTCCATTAGTTCCGGTCTAATGGTAAGTCATCAGATATCAACGTGACAATACTTTAATGCAATTTAATAGATTTTCGAACAATGCCCGCCAGCCTACGTCATGATTTTGAGATATCGAAATTGAGATCGATCGAGAGCCGGGCGCGGGCGCATCCAACGTTGCGATGGATCGAGTATGAAAGTATGAAGGCAGAGTATCGCGCTGGTGGCAGGGGTGTCGTATATAAGTGTGCGAGACTACCACTCTGACATAGTTCACGAACCTCTGTGCTCACGTCGCACGCCGCCCCACACAAATAACAATGAAGCTGCTGGTAAGTCCTGAAAGTTCATCACATAGAGTTCAATGCCATTTCTCCGAGCATGCACTTTCTTCTTAACCATTTAGTTATCTTTAAATGACAATTAGCCGAAATCAGGTCAGCGAGGTTTCGGTTACTGAACTTCGACATTTCAAGATCTATATTGACCTCATTTCTAGTACAGTATTTTAGAGTTGAAAGCTTAAATTTTAAATGCTTTATTCTAAGCTTGGTTCATAGAGAGGTATGTACCTTAACCTAAAAGCTGCATCAGTAATTTCTTAATAATTATTATTATTTATCTTAATTTAAATTAATATAAAATTTTAGTATAACATAAATCTGTAACAGAAGGTATTTTAGTTTAGCTTTATAGATTTTGATGACGAACTATCTTAAGATCGTTTATTTACATATTTACTTTATAACCAGTTTTAGGAAGTATATAGGTTTCAAAGTAGATATTGAATCGGCTCAGCTACGATATTGATGACGTTTTACTCGATATTCATGTGTTTAAAATTCCTGTAATTTAATAGGCATTCCAAATTGATCCTGTTTGACCAGTTATTATTATTATTACATAGTTTATCTGCCTCCTTTAATTGATACATTACTACTATAAGGTTTTTTTACTTTCTGTTTGTGCCAAAAGTTGAAATAAATTGTAAGGTTCCAGGACATAAATGATAAATAATATTTATTTTAGTTCAAAATGGTTTTGTGCCTATAATATCTTTATCGTGGTAACTTTTATCTAATTTTCAACCGACTTCAAAAAAGGAGAAGGTTCTCAATTCGACCCGTATGTTTTTTTTTGTAAATAAAAGAAAATGTAGCCAAGGAAGTGATCTACATTAGACTGGTGTAATTTAATATATCTCAATAACTTTCTTTCACTACTAATCATGATTACATCGTTACTGCATTTAGCATAATACTCGTACTGCTAATACTGGTTTCCATAACATATTGGTACCAGAAAAAAACTTGCGATTACAGACAATTGTATTACCGCGACTGAGTTACCATCATTGGAGCTTGTATAATTTACAAGCACTTATGTTATCATTACGTTCCACATTTTGACATGCCGGTTTATTTATTTGTTTAGACATTACATAATGTTTTAGGTCACGATGATTCATCAGTAAGGCAATACGTGGGTTCAATTTGACTACAAAATACTTATAACTACTAACATATTGTCTAATTGTACTATAACTGATGTAACCGGCGGTTGTTACTGTGTAGAAAACGTTTCGACCGCAAAAGGTCGCAAGTTCGAAATGCGGTCAATAAAAGTATTATAACAAAAGAACGAGTTTTCGTGATTTTTTTTATAATTACATTGAAAAATTTGATTAGATTTTTGTAATTACACACGCCGATATCGTGTACAGTACAATCAATAGACAAGTTAATTAGTGGAAAGAAAGATAAAAAGCAATTGCATAAACCAATTGATTGTGTCGGATTGCGCGGTAAATCGTTTGGTCTGATGCTAATTCTGGTAGCCGGCTGCCACGCTCCAGACATCGTAACGCTATCACGATATACACTTACATAAAGTCGCTATTATGGTGTCAACTTTATCACAGCAATCAATTTGTTATCCATTTGCTTAGGCTTTTACTGGTTTAATTACCCAGATTCTGCGAACGTTCCACTTTTACCTACTTGCTGGATGGCTTATTACACTATTTCCTACGGATATGAACGAGTTCTTACATAAGCCACGGTTGACTGTAGTAACAAGCCGTGGCCAAAAGTCAAGTGGAGCTCAATGGAAACAATAGCTTATTTGTAGACATGTGAGCGCCAATACATGTTATGCTGGAGCTCACTTTCGCCCAACCTGCGTGTCGAATGAGCCGGTTTCACAAGACGCGGCCTATTGTACCCGCCTCATCTTGTCTTGCGACATAACGAATATGATTAAGCTCCTCGCTGACATTATCCTCAATGTTAATATCGAAAACTATCAGCCGGTCTCGTGCGCTTGTTTTCAGAAAGCATGCTTAATATACAAAACTATCCAGTTCAAAAAGTCGTGATCAGCATTAGAGCCATCTTGTATTAGATCCACTCTTTTGTGAGATTAATTAGATTTATTTTTTGGTTATAGGTCGTTTGTGCTGTCTTGTCTCTTACGACAGCTCTTCCCCAAAGGAGAGTGTCGCTAAAACCGGAGCAACAGCAGATAGATGACCAGGAACCAGCTGAGCAGAACTACAACAACTACCAGCCCCAGCAGGAATACAGGCAGCAGCAGCAGCAGCCACAGCAGGAGTACAGAACCAAGCCAGTGGAAGACTTCAGGCCTAAAGTACAGCTGGACACCACCACCTTCATCCCCATCATCAGCTTTGACAAGGAACAAGGCACTGATGGCAGCTACAAGACTTCGTAAGTGTTAAATGTTCTTTCTATAACTGTCCTAATAACATGTCAAAATAAAGGCTGAGGAATCTCATGTTGTTAGTGCTATTTTTTAATAAGTAATACAATGCTGTCTTGTTATATACAAACTACGACCAGGCACTATAATTCTATTAAAATCTCAAAAGAATTTAATGTAATGTCAAAATATTAGTGAAATGTAAAATTTGTTAGTACTTAGCAGTCATTATAAGAATTGAGGATAANTCGTTGTAATATGACGTCACGCGCATAAAATGGCGGGCCGGCCGCCGCCCGCACTTTTAAAATTCAATATCTTGGAAACTAATTAACGTATCGAAATAATTCTTTCACGTATATTTTTTATTTTTAACAGAGAATACAGAAAGCTAAAAAACAAAATTAGTGAACATTCTTCATTATGCTGGCACGCAGCTATTATTATTCACTGTAATATTTTGCATAAATCATGAATAAGAATGGGCGTAATATGCGTTATTATGCAAATGAATTGATGGCATAACATCTGTGATTTCAGGTACGAGACCGGTAATAACATCCACGCCGAGGAGCAGGGCTACTTGAAGGATGTCGGCGCGGATCACGACGCTCTGGTGCAACACGGCTCCTACTCCTACACCGCCCCTGACGGCCAGGTCATCACCGTCGAGTACACCGCCGACGAGTTCGGATTCAGGGTCAAGGGCGACCACATCCCCACCCCTCCCCCAGTTTCACCCGAAATCCAGAAAGGTCTTGACCTCATCTACGCCGGAATCAAGGCTAATCAGGTAAGATTGAAAGACTCGCTGAATCAACTTAAGCAATGACACAATATTTTCACCAGAAATGTGGTTATGTAATGTATCCTTTTTGCACAACGTTGGCATTGTGCAACATATTGCGTGCATCATTGTATTGGGAAAAAATGCGGAAGATCATCGTAGGTTTCGTATAGATCCATAGTTTTTTATTATTCAAAAGACCTTGACTCGAATCTAATAAAGATTGAGTGTAATAACCATATATTAAATTCGACCCACTCAGATCAGGTCGTTAGTTAAACCAAATTCAAACCATTTTTATTTATTGCTGTAACGAATAGAATAATTTAACATTTACATTCATGTTTTAAATATTTTCAGGAACGTAACGCTCTGGAAGCTAAAAACAACCCTGAAGCCGCAAGAAACCAAGAAGAAAGGGCAGCTCTTGACTACAAGGGACAATACTACCAGCAATAAACACACGGCATGAAACTGCAGAGTCGGACAAGAATTAAGATTATTTAAAGTATTGTTAACACATGCAAGAACAAAACACGCTAACGCCATTACTCGTGCAACCATGTGTTTGCTTTTCCAATGTAATCTCTGAAGTATTGCGACCATGATCTTAATTCATATGACGAATGGAATTCAAAAATATGTATGTGGCATAACTGATTACTTAGGTCGAACTAGGGGCAATCGTAATTCGTAATACTCTGTGAGTAAAACAGTTATCACGATTGTCATTACAGTATTAGTTAAGATGTTGTGAATAGGTACAAATGGGTGCTTTAAATATTGTTTTAACAGTTGTGTTCTGTCAATGGATAACATGACACCTTTTTTTTTGCAATAATAATATGACTGTAAACAAGATTAGGCTGGGACTTATTGCTGAATGTGTTGAACTTAATACTCAAGGGGTTTCACTATTTTAGTTGTGTTCGAGATTAATCGATTAAGCCCAAGTCCATCCTGGGATGCCTATTAGTTTAAACTGCCTAGTGTAAGTACTATTAAGAGCTGATAACAACAATTTTGTTATTAAAGAGATCACTCACCTGACTGATGACGCGCCTACGTCTTTGTTATCCGCTTTAGTCATGCATCATCAACCAGCTGCATGTCATATAGAATTGTGATAAAATTACGAGGAGGTCTTATACTTATTTCTATACTTTTGTACATACCTTATTAACTTATGTAACTGTTTACATAAAAATAATAAAAATGTTATAATTTGTTTTGTTATTTTCTTGAATCAAAGCCTCAGGTTTTCCTATTTTTAATGATAACTAATTTTATACACTAATAAAATATATGTACCACATTTTCCTAAAGATAACACTTATGCTAATAAATAGGTTAAGCAAATCATAGGTAAGTTGTAAAATTATTAGTACAAATACCTACATACATTTAAGGCGACTGACGAAAGTGCTGTCAACAGAAATTTTGTTGTTCCCCAAAAGTGTGGTTTTGTTCCCCCCAGTCGACGAAGCACATCATGACATCGTGCCCTGCGTGCCCAAACAACTGCACGCGGGAAGATTTAATGAAGATTCTGACAACGCCACTCTTGTAGTGGAGTTTTGGGCTGACACTGTAGGTTTGTAGTCGACACGACAAGAAGAACAGCATAACATTTTATCTTTAAAAATAACTAAGTAAAAGTTTTTTTTTAAGTAAGAATAGACGACTTAATTTAGTTTCATGCTTTTAATAAAAAATAGTTGAACGAATTATGGTTGGCGTAGTTGAATAAAATGACAACGATTACTGAAAAGCTTTTATTTAATGTAGGCTACGCCTATTGAATTTATCTGCGTTATTCATGTTAGACGTTTTGTGCAGGATGTCAGTCGTGTGACATTAGACCGCAACATATGGTCTAGCACTTACCTACCTCAGTCAGTGGCAGAGGTATGGGAGCGGCACGGGAGGGTCTTTTGATACGTCAAACGTAAGCGAGACTTCACATAAATGCTTCTTTGTATGCTCTGTAACGCTGCCATCTTTATAAAAATAGCAATATTAGCTGATGTTAGAACTACACCTATTTATAATGAGTAAAAACGCCTGGCGTCATCTCGAAGACAAAATTCACTTCACTGAAATACATTACTGTTCTTTAATGGCAAGGTATAAAAATAAAAAAAATAAACATAACAAAGAAACCATAGAATACGTAACGCATAGTTCATAACTTTTGAGGGGTAAGTATTAAATAAGAACAAAATCATGGAGTACTTTGTTATACAAAAATGATTAATAGTTTTGTAGAAACAGCTTGATCCCGTCATCTTGATGCGTCAAAATAACGGGATCAGTACCTATTGATCTTTAATACCGTCTGGACCAATAAGAAAATGGCAAAATTATACGAGTATTTGTAGGTACAAATAGGTGCTAAATGAGTACAAAAAAGATAGTAACGTCTGTTTAAAACAAGAAGTGATCCCAACATCTTGACGCTTAAACAAGCAATTAGGTACATTAAACAATTACATATCTAGTATGTTTTCTTCTAAGGATTTTTATTAGGTTATAATATATTTTCTAATACATAACTTGTAAGTTGGTTCATGGTTTATTTATTTTATTAAAACTTTTTGCACATACATAACTACAAGTAATTAATGCAATGTGGCGGAATTAATGCCGGATGGCATTCTCTGCCAGTCAACCACGGGTTATGCAAAGAAATTTAGGCGGTGCAAAAAAATTACAGTTTGGATAATACAAAAGGTTACATAAAATAAATAACATATAAATATAATACACATAGATACCATTTGGCTGTGGTATCTATATAGATACATAAATATAATAATATTATAGGTGTACACATCACTTATGTCTGAGATAACGAGAAATAAGAAAAAAGTCATGATTCTTCAAAATGGTTGCGCAGCCTTTTTGAAAATTTTGGAAGATGTCGTTCCAGAGCCGTACAGCAGAGACTAAGAGATGGACATGAAGCCGATGCTATGATGATGGTTTGTAATGTGCTTATTAGGTAGTTATTGCTCTAGAATTATAGAGCACATTAATAATAATACTAATAACATTAATATTAATAACAATAGTATTCTTGAGAATATACAAAAGTAACTGACTCGTAGAATTTCGTAGGTACTGCCAATAAAAATATAGACTGTGTTCATCACAGGCAATATCGAATTCTAATGGTGAAAGATTTTTTCAAATCGGTCCAGTCTTTTCAGAGCCTATTCAATTTGAACAATTAGTTTATGTGTTAATGTGTAAAGCTGATCAGTTATTTGCATAAAATTAATTAGCCCTGGACACAACAAACGCCCTGAAACAAATTTGATGGGGTATCGCCTTAATTCATCAAACTGCATGAGCAAATTGAAGGGGAGAGTGGACAAAGGTGTTATCTGACAAAACTGAAGAATCGACTTTTTTGCATGAACATAGGTTTCAAGTGATGATAAAATCGACTAATGAGCTCAAAACACGCAATTTTGTTACGTGTCAAACCTTAACAAAGGTGTTATCTGACAAGCATTCATACATTTCAGGATTCAAATGTGGTATGAGCAAATTAACATTTTCAAACACTCATAACTCATTTTGTTAGTTAAGACCTTTGTTACGCATGGAAATAAGTGCGTTATTGGTGGTTATTTCATTATTTCCGTCAAATGCCACACGTAGAACTGGCTTCGGTGGGGTCATCGTTGGTCGCGGTGTGCATTTCACAACACCTTCTATAGTAAGGCTGTCGATTTCGTGTCAGCGAGGAAATTTTAATAGATTTATATAGGCACTGAGTATTTTATTTACAGTTTTTATTCTAAATAGGTACTTTTTTAAAGATAAGATATACCTATGTATAGNTCAAAAGAAAATTACTTTTTATAAGTTATGGATCACTGTCGTAGCACTAAAACACAATTTTAAAATCAATTTTAACACAGAGTAAATAAATAATAAGACTGAGTTGTACCACCTAACTTTGACCATAACTATGACTATAATCGGTGCTTTTTGTATGGAGTTTGAGATTTTTGACGTTTGTCAAAGTTAAAGTAAGATGGTGCAACCCAGCCTTTATTTGAAATTTAACTGAACACTTATTTTAGTGCACAATTAAAATAACAAAAAAACAATAACTTAGACAACAAATAGGTAAGGTAAAGCTAAATACAATATTATAAATAAAAAATACTTACCAGCATCATTTTAAATAAGCAATACTTTGACCCATCTGATAAAGAAATATGATCATTTTACGAACGCTGCTAGTATTTATAGCCTCGTAGTAATAATTTTATTGTTAGAGGCATGCTAAATATTCATAAGGATGAAGGTGAAGGTCTTCATTGTATAAATATATTGATGATTGGTAATGCACATCATATCACTTTCTTGTGAGATGCAGGACAAACGCTTCTCGATTGAGGGTAACACAACATACCGATTAAGCGGAACGATAAGGAAACATAACACCAAATAGCTCTACATCCTGCAACTGCTGAGCTCTTTGCAAAATGATAGTGAGATAATGCACTATGTTATAAAGGCTCTAGTGCACCTTAGGATCACAATGTTGGGTATTGGAAACAGGCATGAGTCAAAATTATTAAATTATTACAAGATTTATAGTTTTTAGGGTTCCGTAGTCCTGACAAGGAAAGGAACCCTTATAGTTTGGATATGTCTGTCTGTCTGTCTGTCCGAGGTTTTGCTTGGAAACTATTGGCACAAGGGAGCTGTAATTTTGTGGAGGTATGTATATTAATCACGCCGACAAAACGGTAAAATAAAATTTTGATAAAAAAAATTTTTTAGGGTAACACCCCTACATGTAAAAGGGGGATAATCTTTTTTCATCTTCTGCCCTATCGTGTGGGGTATCGTTGAATAGGTCTTTTAAAATGGCTTAGGGGTTTCTAAGACTATTTTTCCATTTAGGGATCTGTTTCCAAATTATTCTAGTTTAAAGTGCCAATTTTTGCCAATAAAAATATAGACTGTGTTCATCAGATTCTAATGGTGAAACATTTTTTCAAATCGGTCTAGTCTTTTCAGAGCCTATTCAATTTGAACAATTAGTTCTTTCGTTTTTATAATATGAGGTAGAAGTATATTATCTATGTAGATAACAAGTTACAACTAAAATGTAAATGTGTAAAGCTCACCAGTTATTTGCATAAAATTAATTTCAGACATTAGCCCTGGCTGGACACGACAAACGCCCTGAAACAAATTTAATGGGGTATCGCCTTAATTTATTAAATTGTATGAGAAATTTCTTACATTACGCATGGAAACCTCAAAGAAGCAGATGCTTAAAATAAATTTAGTGCGTTATTGGTGGTTATTTCATTACTTCCGTCAAATGCCACACGTAGAACTGGCTTCGGTGGGGTCATCGTTGGTCGCGGTGTGCATTTCACAACACCTTCTATAGTAAGGCTGTCGATTTCGTGTCAGCGAGGAAATTTTAATAGATTTATTTAGGCACTGAGTATTTTATTTACAGTTTTTATTCTAAATAGGTACTTTTATAAAGATAAGATATACCTACCTATGTATAGATATTGCTATATGCATGTACATTGTACACAAATTAAAACAACGAGAGATACAAATAACGATAAAGCTCTGTCAGCGCAAAAAGATTATGATCCTACATGTAAAGGCTCCTGATGAGACTCTTTTTACCCGACTGCGCCAGAAGGAGGGTTACTTAACTACGATTAAGCTTGATTGAAGATTAAGATGAAAGCGAAAGGTCACTCATTGACTGACTCACTCATAACGAAATCTCAGAAAGTACAAGTGCTAGGAGTCTCAAATTCGTAGGTGCTCACTAAGACGGGATTTTGCAAAATTCAATCCCTAAGGGGATTAAACGGGATTCACGCGTACAAAGTCGCGGGCGGCCGCTAGTAACAGATATTAGGTGTAGGATTTAATTTCACATGAATATATTATAACAGATTGAGTGCCATCATGGGTACATCAAAAATTTTTACGCTTAAAAACTAGTTTCTTTGCATTTATTACGAGTATAACCCAAGGCCTTCAAAACACGTAGGCATCGGTAGGCTGGCACAATCAAACGTAGAGTGCTAAGAGACTTATTATAAAGCTGAAGAGTTTGTTTGTTGCTTAAACGCGCTAATCTCAGGATCTACTACTACACTACTCAACAGCTTTGCTTTAATATAAGGCTAACGTGCTGTGATGTCCTCTTCAGTAAGTAAATAAATATAAAGTAGGTACTTACCGTACGTATGTTTTACTCAACAAACATGATGTTACGAGAAAAAGGAGATTCTTTATTGAGTAAGTACCTAATTCATTAATGAATGCTCATCTCAGTGTTTTTCAAGGGATCCTAATTGTCCCATATAGTTAGTTGTGTCAATGTCTTTTATAAAAGGAAGCTGGAATGGTTGAATTTTCAGATAGTTCCAGTTTATTCTGTAACATCATTATTGGTACCGTTTGAAAGAGCTCGTGAAGCACTTTCAGGATCCAGTAACCAGTTTGTCGATATCTTGTATAGTTTATTGTTTCTACCCTTTAAATCCATTAGCCATTATTGCCCAGAAGACTAGCGATGAGCAGCGGGGGATATGTTGTTGGTGGTGCTGGGTATCCTGGCTGTATGGGTTGTTCAGGGCCACTTGGCTGTCCTGGTTGGATCTGCTCGATCTCCGGTCGGTACCCGTTCTCGTCGGCGGTGTAGGTCACGACGTAGCGCACGCCGTCGGGCCCCACCCACTCGTACGATCCCTCCACCGCCAGGAATTCGTTCTCACGACCCTTGTTCTTCAGCACGCCTTGGCTTCCATATTTGGTACCGTCAGACTGCGCGAAGCTGTAAACATATTCATAATTTGAAAATAATGCTTCAAAAATAATTAAATTAAGTGACAATAGCCTAATGGTCTGCTTCCGGACTTGCCGAGGGTGAACTACGACACAAACAATAATTAATTATTGTATAAATAAAAATCTTATAATAGACATCTATTGTGAAAATAATGTTAAAATATTTATCGATCTACGCCATGGTCGAGTCACTAGCTAACTAAGTGCGATTTTAGAAAGATTAATATTTTTTCCAAGCTACACAGGCTCGGATCTGAATTTACGAGTAGAGGTTTATTATTGAATTTTTTACTAACTCGAAGTAATAGAACCCAGAGCCATCGTTCACGTATTCAGACCATAGGAGCTGGACGTCGGCTGGGGCTGCCGCAGACAGAGCGACAACACTGAGTAAAATAATCTGAAATTTAATAGTAAAACAAAACAACAATGTCAATTATTTTTATAAGTTATGGATCACTGTCGTAGCACTAAAACACAATTTTAAAATCAATTTTAACACAGAGTAAATAAATAATAAGGCTGAGTTGTACCACCGAACTTTGACCATAACTATGACTATAATCGGTGCTTTTTGTATGGAGTTTGAGAATTTTGACGTTTGTCAAAGTTAAAGTAAGATGGTGCAACCCAGCCTTTATTTGAAATTTAACTGAATTAAAATAACACAAAAACAATAACTTAGACAACAATTAGGTAAGGTAAAGCTAAATACAATATTATTAACAAAAAATACTTACTTACCAGCTTCATTTTTAATAAACAATACTTTGACCCATCTGATAAAGAAATATGATCATTTTACGAACGCTGCTAGTATTTATAGCCTCGTAGTAATAATTTTATTGTTAGAGTCATGCTAAATATTCATAAGGATGAAGGTGAAGGTCTTCATTGTATAAATATATTAATGATTGGTAATGCACATCACATCACTTTCTTGTGAGATGCAGGACAAACGCTTCTCTATTGAGGGTAACACAACATACCGATAAAGCGGAACGATAAGGAAACATAACACCAAATACACTCGACATCAAATAAACCGCACCTCCCGCGACAAGCACTTTCAAACGTATGCATCCCCACATCCCACCAATATTGGCACCATTTAAAAGCCTAGTTCTAAACTTAATTTTATTACAGGAAAGGTTTTTACCCCAAAAATGTGTCTTTAGAAGGAACCAGAGTCACTTAATCAAAAAATAGGTAACTAGTTACGCTTGAGCCAAATTTTATGGCTATAAAACTGTTAAGTTGCAATTAATCGCTATCCATCTGTTAAAGAGGACACGTGAGATCATTATTTGGTTTTATAACCATAAAACGGAGTTTCCCTGCGTGATCGAATCAGAAATGAGGAGATCCGCAGGAGAACCAAAGTAACCGACATAGCTCGCAGAATTGCTAAAATCAAGTGGCAGTGGACGATGGCCGTTGGGGCAGGAAAGTTCTCGAGTGGCGACCACGGGCTGGAAGACGTAGCGTGGGCAGGCCTCCTACTAGGTGGACCGACGATCTGGTAAAGGTCGCGGGAAGAGCCTGGATGCGGGCAGCGCAGGACCGTTCATTGTGGAAAACCTTGGGGGAGGCCTTTGTCCAGCAGTGGACGTCATTTGGCGACGACGACGACGATAACCATAAAAAATTGTCTAATTGATCCCAGAGGTGAGCCCAAAGTGAGGTCTTATTTCAAGTCACATTTATGTTATATGTTAATCATTTATTAAGAAATTAAATGTGTTTTTCTTTAAGGATATTTATTAGGCTTTCAAATAACACCAATATTGTTGGGGCACCATGATTGTGTCAGAAGAAAATTTTTAAAGTTCGCGTCGCGGAAGGTGCGGTTTATTTGATGTTAAGTGTAGTTCTACATCCTGCAACTGCTGATCTCTTTGCAAAATGATAGTGAGATAATGCACTATGTTATAAAGGCTCTAGTGTACCTTAGGATCACAATGTTGGGTTTGGAAGCAGGCATGAGTCAAAATTATTAAATTATTACAAAAGATTTATAGTTTTTTAAATGCTTTTTTCAAATGTGATCAACATAAGGTGGAGCTTTCACTAATGTTTATTTTTGTTAAGCAGTTAAAATAAAAAGTAATGACAAGCTCATAAAAGTTTATTGTGAAAGTTACAAACAAATTAAATTACTTGATCCTTATACTTAATAATAACGATCGATGCAATAAAAATAATGTAACTTTTAACAGATTTTAGTTGGTTCGATTCCCGGGTGTGGCAAGCAAATTTTTGGAAATCTTTCAATGCAGTTCTATTTCTTTTCAATAATAAAGGAAAGTTTTCTTTGAGTAAAATTGTCTATCTAGATTATTAGGAGTACTTTCCCTCCAGGTGGCATTACAAAATTCCACGCTGTATAGGTATATTCACACTGCATGCAGTTAGTACATTAGAAAATCAAAATGTGATATATCTATTTCCCCACAAGGCTAGAGTGGAGAAATGGGGGTGAGCCTGGTTCTCTTGGCTGTTCTGGTTGTGCAGGTTGTTCCTGCTCGACCTGCGGCTGGTACTCGTCGTCGTCGGCGGTGCGCACGACGTAGCACATGCCATCGGGCCCCACCCACTCGTACGAGCCAGCCAGCGCCACGAATGCGTCCTCACGACCTTCGTTCTTAAGCACGCCTCGGCTCTCCCGTCTGGTTCCGTCAGACTGCTCGAAGCTGTAAACATATTCACCATTTGAAAAGAATGCTTCAAAAAGGACCTAATGAAGCGACACTAGCCCTATGGTACTTAATTACTACCGGACTTGCCGAGGGTCGGTGGTTTGAACCCCGTGCCAGTACTCGCGCAGTGGATATTACAGATCTCAAGCTCGCGGGACTGACAATGTCAGTCACATTGTTCGCAGTAGTATCTAGTAGTATGCTATAATTAGCAATTAGCAACAAACAATATTTTGTAATGTGAGATTATTTTAAAATAATAACAATAAAACATATTAAAAGTACCTACTATTCAGTAGTTGTGACACAATATTGAACGAATTTAGAAAGATTTATATTTTTTTTCCAAGCTATGCAGGCTCAGCTGAATGTAGAATGTAGAATGTAGATGTTTATTAACTGATTTTTTCGCTTGTTCTTAAAGAGTCACACCCAAACAAGTAACCTGTTACTCGTTGGGAAAAAAAATCCTTTGATATCAGGATATAAGAGCTTTCATTAAAAAGAAACAAAGAACGCGGGTTCGAATCCCACCGCCGCTCGACTATTGTGGTGAGCCCACTCGTAACACAAGCTTATTTAGCTTAACACGAGGGGCTAAGGGGACTATTAGTAATTTGGGCAATACAAATTGCTAATAATCTTTAAAAAAAAACTCAAACCGTCGGAGCTGCACTTCGGCTGGGGCTGCCGCGGCCAGGGCGACAATACTGCATAAAATAATCTGAAATCAACCGACGAAAACCGAGAAACGAGAAAACGTCATCAAAAGAAAATCGGATTACCTACTTTCCTATACTATCTTAGCACTAAAACATAATTTTAAAGACATCTTATCAAATAGGTTAGTCATGACAAAGTTGTAATTTTTTTTGTTATTATTTTTTAGACAGAGTATTTATTTTAAATATACTTAATTAAACACTTTTATTTTTGTAAACCATTAAAATAACAGATACCTAATCAGTAACTTCGAGTGGTAGGTAATGAAATTAAATATTAGGTATAGATAAAATGACTAACCAGCTTCATTTTAAATATGATTTTGATAGGTAGGTACGTCTGTTGTAGAAATAACAATATGATCATTTTACTGACAAGGCTAATATTTATATCCTCATGGTCATATTGTTAAAATCATGCTAAATATTCATAAGGATGAAGGTGAAGGTCTTCATTGTATAAATATTAAACTGATTTGGTAATGTAATGGTAATGCACATCACATCACTTTCTCGTGAGGTGCAGGACAAAAGCTTGTCTATTGAGGGTAACATAACATACCTACCCATAAAGCGGAACTATAAGGAAGGTAGTTCTAGGTAGGTACAATCCTGCAACTTCTCAGTTCATTGCAAAATAATAGTGAGATAATGCACTATGTAATAAAGGCTCTAGTGCACCTTAAGATCACAATGTTGAAATTGGAAGCAGGCAGGAGTCTAATCAGGCAGGAGGATAAATCTTGTATTAAATTATTAATACTATAAAAGGAGAAACTGACTGACTGACAGACCAACGCACAGCCTAAACGGCTAAACGTAGGCACTTGAAATTTGGAGGAGACGTAGCTTAGGTACCGTAGAGGTGCACTAAGAAAGGAATTCCCGAAATTCCCACGGGAACGGGAATTAGCGGGAAAATCCTTTTGTATGAAAAATCTAAACCGCTTAAGTTAGACGCTTGAAATTTGGCATGCAGGTACCTTAGTAAACTTAAAGCTTAGTTACAACAGGATATTCCAAAATTCCTACGGGAACGGGAGTTAGCGGGAAAAAACGTTTGTATGAATAAATCTAAACCGCGTATGATAGATGAAGGGGTAAAACGGGATCCATGCGTACGAAATCGCGGGTGGCCGTTAGTATTTTTATAAATGTTTCTTTCGAATGTAATCAACGTAAGGTAGAGCTTTTACTGTAGTTTATGAGTACCTACTTGTTTTCATGTTTATGATAAAGCTGGTGCTTCACCGTAAAATAGATAGACTCCCAGTGCTTTGCTATTGATAATGAACAACTCACCTATAGCAAGGGGGTTTTTTCCAGAAAAATGCATTCAATAACATTTTTATCTACATTTAGTTTCATTTAATTGGATTAACATGAAGTTGTAAACGGAATTAAATAATATCCGGTCGACTATTTTCAGATCATCAGTAAAGAGAATGACATCAGGCTTCGACATCGATTACGAAATTATTTGAAAAGAAATGGACCCGAATGCAAGCCTTGTGAGACGCCCGATGACGTCACAAACGCGTATCAGNTCAAAATTCCCACGGGAACGGGAGTTAGCGGGAAAAAACGTTTGTATGAAAAAATCTAAACCGCGTAAGATAGATGAAGGGGTAAAACGGGATCCATGCGTACGAAATCGCGGGTGGCCGCTAGTAGTTTTATAAATGTTTCTTTCGAATGTAATCAACGTAAGGTAGAGCTTTTACTGTAGTTTATGAGTACCTACTTGTTTTCATGTTTATGATAAAGCTGGTGGTTCACCGTAAAATAGATAAACGATTACTTCAATCTTCGAATTACTTCAACTCCCAGTGCTTTGCTATTGATAATGAACAAGTCACCTATAGCAAGGGGGCTTTTTTCCAGAAAAATGCATTAAATAACATTTTTATCTACATTTAGTTTCATTTAATTGGATTAACATGAAGTTGTAAACGGAATTAAATAATATCCGGTCGACTATTTTTTAAGATCATCAGTAAAGAGAATAACATCAGGCTTCGACATCGATTACGAAATTATTTGAAAAGAAATGGACCCGAACGCAAGCCTTGTGAGACGCCCGATGACGTCACAAACGCGTATCAGATGTAAAACCCTTTAAAACCGAGGATCGCTCAACTTGAAAAAAAAAACAGGTAAGATGCAGACAAATTTTATTGAGCAAGCTACTTTGATCTCTTCTTCTTCTTAGTCGGGCACTCTTGTCAGAGTGGTCGTGGTTGCGCTGACGAGGTACATGGTGGGATGATGTTCTCTCCGAAGGTAGCTCTCCTGGCGGTGTGCTTCCATTTTCTGACGGTACTTTAATACAAACCACTAATTCCACCGTGGTAAAGTTTCGAAGTTAAAATTTTGTGATCCACCCTGTCAAACGCCTTACTAAAGTATAGGTCAACAGACGACCTACAATCAATAGATTCAATAACTTCCGCAACAAAACAAGTTTAGTTCGTTGCAGTCAAGCGAGATTCGACACACCCATACATGATCCTGCCATTTTTTATTTTTGTTAAGTAGTTACATTAAAAAGTAATGACAAGCTCATAAAAGTTTATTGTGAAAGTTTAGGTAACAAACAATCAATCATGTACCCGCTCTACGGATATTTATTTTATATACTTGTCGGCGCCGGACACAGATGCTGCAAATTATTATTGATGATTAATAGTACCAATCTTAATATTATGTTATCTGTAGAAATCTGTAGAGCAGAAGGTTTGTGATTCCTAAACGTAACACCCGACTGATGCGCAGAAAAAGATAACTGTCAATGAGTTGTGTCAAGTTGTGTCATGTCAAGTGTGAGCAGGCGGCTGCGAGGTTATCTTTGAAAAGCGTGTTGAGTTTGGTGGAACGTTAATGTTAGGATATAGAATTTTATCATGAGATGACATGTTGCTGGCAGGTTTTATTTTAAAAGTAAACAGCATTAGAATAAAGTTTGAAAATAATGACAGGTGTAGAAAAGCAAGAAAATGTGACATTGTATCATTGTATTATTGAATTTCGATAGATTCAGTTGTAAATGTTTTAATATTTAATATGTAATAGATTTTGATAATATTTTAATAATAAAGTGTGTGTGAGTATTGAAGTGGCGTTATTATGATTGGAAAATTTTAAAACAACAATATGTCGGAAGAAAATTTTAAATTATCAACGTTATCAAAAGGAGAAGACTATACAAACTGGAAGAAGAAATTGATATTGTTATTGACAGCGAAAGATATAGATTGTGTTTTGGAAGATAATGCTGAGAGCAAAAAGGATTTTAATAGAAAAGATGCAAAAGCAAGATACATTATAATAAGCTCATTATGTGATAAATTTGTTGTTCGTTCGTTCGTTTCAGCCAAATGACGTCCACTGCTGGACAAAGGCCTCCCCCAAGGTTTTCCACAATGAACGGTCCTGCGCTGCCCGTATCCAGGCTCTTCCCGCGACCTTTACCAGATCGTCGGTCCACCTAGTAGGAGGCCTGCCCACGCTAAATTTGNTATACTTTTATAAACATCTTTATAATTATGTAGAACTATTATTAGTTCACAACTTATTTTTAATATTTTCATTAAATTAAGTTTGTCAATCAGTTTCTATTACAATGGTCATTGAGTTGCTATGGTGTCATAATACTCATAATATGTCCTTATCAGAGACTACTCAAGATGCCCAATATTTTGTTAATGCAAATTATATCTAACAAGTTCTTATCCAGTAGATTTAAACGGGGAAAATAGCTGTCAATAATTTACAAGGTCAAATAACTCGTTAATGTCTGTTGTTAATAACAAAGGATTGCTTTATTATTTCTCAATCAGCAGAAGACACAGTGGATAGTGTATTTTTAAAAATGTAATCTTGTACTGAGTTGCACCATCTTACTTTAACCGTAACTATAACCTTAACTAGTGTTTCTTGTATCTAGTTTGACAGAATTTTGACGTTTGTTAAAGTTCAAGAAAGATGATGGTGCAATCCAGCTATACCTAATGATGCAAATTTTTATTATGATTTTCCAAGTTGAAGAACACTTTGATGTTTATTACCAACGCGACGTCATACTTAAATCTGGAAGTGCGACTCTACACTACACTAATATTACCTATCTAAATGAGCAGACATGCACACAGTTCTCATATTACGATCATTGCCCGCTTGATACTTATCACCCTGGGTGTAAATTCACCATTAGAAAGTTAAATAATACCAGCTTTTATTTTGTAACGATATAAAATGTGATATGTATCTATTACCCCGCCACTAGGCTAGCGAAGACGAGTGCGGGCTTACTATAGTCATAACCTCGAATGGGTGTCAGGCCTATTCCTGGGTATCTTGGCTGTACGGGTTGTTCAGAGCCTCTTGGCTGTCCTGGTGGTCTAGGTTGTATTTGCTCGACCACCGTTCGGTACCCGTTGTCGTCGGCGGTGTAGCGTACGACGTAGCGCACGCCGTCGGGCCCCACCCACTCGTATGAGCCAGCCACCGCCAGGAATTTGCCTTCGCGACCCTCGTCCTTCAGCAAGCCTCGCCTTTCCTGTTTGGTACCGTCAGACTGCTCGAAACTGTAAACATATTCAACATTTGAAAAGAATGCTTAAATTAAAATATAGATACTTAACCCAAATGAAGCAATAGCCCATGTCGGCTGCCGGACTTGTCGAAGGTCACTAGACAGTTGCGGTTTTGATTTATATTTTTCCCAAGCTACGCAGTCTCAAATCTGAATTTAGATGTTTATTATCTGATTTTTTTACTTACGCGAAGTAAAAACTCCCAGAGCCATCGTTCACGTACTCAGACCATAGGAGCTGGACTTCGGTTGGGGCTGTCGCGGCCAGAGCGACTATACTGAGTAAAATAATCTGAAATCAAACGAAAACAACACCATCGAAAGAAAAGAATGACATTAATAATTAACATTTATAATATTTTTACTAATGTTGTATTAATTTTACAATGCTGAAGAGTTTTTTTGTTTGTTTGGTTGACGCGCTTATCTCAGTAACTACTAGTGCAAAAAAGCATTTTTATACTTAAGGGGGCTTGGCGACCGGGGCCGGAATTGAACCACTGCCACTGGTATAGATGAGAAAGGTGGTGAGTTGTCAAGACTAATAAATGGTGTTGAAAGTAAAATAGTTTTTTTCCGGAATGCTGAAATTAATGAAATACCGTTACTACCGTCAAATTATGATTGTCAGAAATAAAGCAATTCCCTCTTGTCTGACACAATATAAATTAAATAATGTAAAAATCAGGGATATTATGAATATCCGTAACCGAAACCGGTATAATATTATTCCAATATCCGTAAACCGTATCCATAACCGAAACTACAAATATCCATAACATCCGTAGTAAAAATAGTTGTATTATGATGAAAAAAAAAACTTACGAGCTTCATTTTTGATATTTTATTATTTTGACAGATCTTTTGTAGAAATATGAAGATTTTACGAATAACCATAATATTTATAGCCACGATTAGGTAATTGTTCGAATCATGCTAAATACCTAATAGCCTTAAGGATAAAGGTGAAGGTCTTTCTTTTAAATCTGTTAATATCACGTCACTTCAGACGTGAGATACAGGTCAGGTTTACCCACAATGGATTAAGAATTAGGTATTCTTTCGAATGGTGGTAAATACAACATACCTATTGCATAGTTGGTATTTTTGTGTAAAGAAAAGGATGCAAACGAAATTACAAAATAATTTTACTTAATAGATAATTTATTTACAGTTTGAGAATTATTCAGTCGTATGTTTATTAGCCTGCAAGGCTGGCGAGGAGGCCTGCGGGGACGCCTCCTCCGGGGCCCTGCTCGATCTCCGGCTGGTACCCGTTCTCGTCGGCGGTGTAGCGCACGGCGTAGCGCACGGCGTCGGGCCCCACCCACTCGTACGATCCAGCCACCGCCACGAATGCGTCTTCGCGACCCTCGTTCTTCAGCACGCCTCGGCTTTCCTGTTTGGTACCGTCAGACTGCTCGAAGCTGTAAACAGATGCTATGTTTAAAAATAATGCATATAATAGTCCAATAAAGCGACAATAGCTCAAGGGTGTCAGCGCCCCGATTGCGCTAAAAATTTTCAATCGCAACGCGACTGGACGACGACGAACGAACATCAGCTGTTTTGACAAATTCGTATCGCGGTGTCGTATTGAGAGCCAGTTCAAACGAAACTGTAACTTAAAAGGGGCGCAACTGCACCTTTACGTAAAAGATGACAGAAAGCTACTTTTTCTCAAACGCAATCAAATGCTCACGTCAATTTGCTGTTTTAGTCATTAATTTTAGTTTCAAAAATAAGGTGTTTGGACTTTTAATGGAAGACTTTTAATGTAAATCCGTTGTTTGCGCGTAAACATTACCGCGTTACCAAATTGCATGTCAGCTGGAATGTAATTGGAGTGTGACTGGAGTGTAGACTGGAGATGAATTGGAGACATTACAAATTAGCGCAATCGGGGCCCAGATTCCGAACTAATCGAGGGTCGGTAGTTCGAACCCCGTCGCCAGTACTAACTAGCACGAGCACAGTGGTTATTGCACACCTTTTAAGCTCGCGGGACTGACATATTCAGCAGCAGTATGCTGAAGAATATGTCAGTCCCGCGAGTTTATTAGCTGCTCACTATATTTAATCAATATTGGGTAGAATAAATGTAAAATCGTTTATAATTTTCAAAACTGTTTATGATGAAAAGTTTATAAAAATAAAATGTTAGTTGTGAAATACTATAGATTTATCAATGTACGCCATAGTTCAATAAAAAGTACCTATCGAGTCACTAGACAATTGCGAAGTTAAAGAAAGATATCATATAATTTTTCCAAGTCAAGCAGGCTCCATGGTAAATTTAGTTGTTCATAACACCTNTTAAGTAGCAGAATGATTAAATAACTTACGAGGTGTAATAGTTCCCCAAGCCATCGTTATTGAACTCAGACCGTAGGAGCTGGACGTCAGCAGGGGCTGCCGCGGCCAGAGCGACAACACTGAGTAAAATAATCTGAAATCAAATGAAAACGTCATCAAAACTCCACAATTTTCGCAAATAATCACGACAAGTAGTAGGTATCATTATTGTTATTTTTACACAGAATTTTAATTTTATTATTTGTACACTTTCTCTACGAGCTATGTGCCCCGCCCACTGCCACTTGATTTTAGCAATTCTGCGAGCTATGTCGGTCACTTTGGTTCTCCTGCGGATCTCCTTATTTCTGTTTCGATCAGGGAAACTCCGAGCATAGCCCGCTCCATCGCCCTTTGGGTGACCTTGAGCCTTCTTATGAGGCCCATAGTAAGCACACAAAAATTACTAACCAGTTTCATTTTGAATATTATTTTGACGCGTCTCTTAGTAATATGAAGATTCTATGAACACAGCAAATATATATAGCAGTGTATTTAGTAATAGTTCGAATCTTGCTAAATATTCATAAAGATGAAGGTGAAGGTTTTAATTTTAAATGCCTACAGACTGACAATGCCCAACCCAACTCATCATTTCCATCATGTGAGGTCAAGGAGGAGGAGGAGGAGCTTCTTTTGTGGTAAAATAACATAATGGTAATTATTATTATTTTTACCATTATTTATATTAAGGAGCCGAGATAAGCCGAGCATCTCACATGCATGGACCTATAAAAAAAGGCGGACGGAACTCGCGCTACAACAAAACTGTGACGCAAAATTTTGGCGTTTGTCTATTGTGTGAGTGAATTTAGGGATGCCATGTTAGCTAAAACATTTTACCCATTTATTTTAAGAAAAACATAGATCGGCAGATGTTACTTGGAAATGTAGACAGAATTATTCCGTGCCATTTTAAAAGGATGAAAGGTGAATGCGTTGAGGTAGGCGCGAAATTTTCAATGTTCAAATTTTCTTACATTGTTTGCAAGTCAGTGTGTCAGGGTATGTACATAATGTTGATCAAAAATGATTCACGCAGTTACAAATTACGAATCTTGTGTACATTATAATCATAATCTTATGCATCATCAATATATTATTATTATCTCTGATAGATTTTTTTTAACATACAACCTGACACTGACTTGCAATCAATGTAAGAAAATTTGAATTTCGCAGTTCCACATTTTTGGGAAGGATCAAATTTGCCTATGAAAATATATCCCATTAAAACACAATTATTATGATAAATTATTTTATTTCCATAGTATGCGTAATAAATAACTAAAAAGTCCTAAAATTATTATTAATTTCCCATATTTCGGGTAATTTTCCCACGTAAATAACTGAGAACACTGGTCTTTGACGTATTATTTTTTCGAGTGAATGACGTTTGATTTCAATTAATTTCAATATTTTAATGTCGGGAAATAAGTGATTGGATTATTATTTTGCCTGTGAAATGTGATTCCTTAATTTTTGTTTGTTCGAACAGAACGGTTTTTACACAATTTCATCACACAAGACATGTCGTATTCGTGTTGTTTTTTCGCTGCTTAAATGTGTCAACTGTGTGAAGTTTGCACTCGAAGTGGTGTATCAGGGTGTGAATGTGTGCGTGCCGGCCTGTACGTACAGGCAAGCTGGTGTATCCTAATGTCACAGTATTTTGTTGATGAGAATCCGTCCGACTTTTTTTATAGGTCCATGCTCACATGATGGAAAATTATTGTGAATGTTGTGCATTATCGGTCTGTATTTAAAATTAAGACCTTCACCTTATTTATTTACAATGCATTAATTAAGTTATTAAAAGTTCCAATGCACCTTAAGATCAAAATGTTGTATATTGGAAGCACACAATAATCAAAATTATTGAACAATTTTATTTGTAAAATATTTTTACAAAATAGTTATGTTTCTTTAGAATGTCAATAAGTTAGAGATTTCATTGGATCATCTCGTCTTTCTAATAAGGTATGAAATTTAGTTTCACTGCACTACTTTCTGGGACACTTGTGACAAAAATACATTTTATTTCTGAAAATATAACCGTTCATTTATTCGAATTTATGATTTATCACGGTTTAGTGCATAAATATAACATGTAACTTTGTGATTTTATATACCTATTACCTACCTACTCTTTTCATGCTTTGTTTTCATAAATATTTAAATTACTCCATGAGTTTTTAATAGGTATGTGACCTGTCTGGCCTGCGTGCCGTAAAGGCCAAAACCACGGTTCCATTGGTAGGTATGGATCTGGTAAATTAGACAGAGTCATATTATGCTTCTACAGTGGAAACTGAATGACCTGATGATGATAAGAAAGTGACCTTAAATTAAGGTAAACCCTCTTATTATCTTTTATACTTACTTTTTGAAATCAAATAAATTAATTATTATTCTATTCTATACTAGAAAAAGCGCATAGCAATAACGCTGCATGCCAGTCTACATTTAATCTGATATATTCAAAAGTTAAGTTACAGTCATTTAATTTAATATTCCTTCTACTCGTATTTAATGTTTTATGAATTTATTTTGCAATATCCTGTTGTAACTAAGCTTTAAGTTTACTAAGGTACCTGCATACCAAATTTCAAGCGTCTAACTTAAGCGGTTTAGATTTTTCATACAAAAGGACTTTCCCGCTAATTCCTGTTCCCGTGGGAATTCTTAAGTATACTATAACCTGCCCAGGAGTATGAAGAATAATTGTACCAAGTTTCGTTAAAATCCGTCCAGTAGTTTTTGTTTCTATAAGGAACATACAGACGGACAGACAGACAGACAGACAAACATTTTACTGGTTGCATTTTTGGTATCAGTATCGATCACTAATCACCCCCTGATAGTTATTTTGAAAATATATTTCATGTACAGAATTGACCTCTCTACAGATTTATTATAAGTATAGATACCTAATTTAAGAAGTTGTATTGTCTTACTACAACGAGAACGAACCGTCCCATCAGTGATATTGACAGGGGGACGCCACCGTCAATACCGGATCGCAGTTCCGATTTTTGCATGTTGGAAACTTTAAAGTTGAACGATGGTGGCGCTTTCCTGTCAATGAATTTGGTGGGACCAGTGAATACCTAGGTGCATGGAGGTGTATTATACGTCAGTGAATAGGTGGGACACTAGAGATGTGTAAATCCGAAGTGTTTGATAATTATCATCATTTTAATTTAATTTTGATACAAAATAAAATTTATAAAATCAGATTTGTATTTAAATTACTTAAAATAATTAAAATAACCCCATTTACCTAACACCCTGTAGAGCTCAGTGGTTTTTAGATTTGTGTTGTGTGTCATTTTATGTCTTTTTCACCTAAGATGATCCCTATGACGTTTGGAGTTTGAAAGATTTAGAGATGTCACATAACTAAACCATAGCGATTTATCTATCGATTTTTTTCGAAGAGTTAGTAAAACCTACTTTTAGATAATTATTTTGTTTAGGTGTTATTTAACAAAAAACATGTTTTTTTTAATTACAAATATTATTGTAACAATTTTTTATTGATAATATTCAAATTTCATGGTTCGTGTTCAAAAAAACGATTCCTAAAAAGTACTGGTTCTGTTTCTTTAAATTAAAAACTATTAATTTATTTTCAATACGTTTATTACAGTCAATAATCGAAAAATATAGTTGATTTTTGTGATGTTTTTAATAACTAAGTATTCACTGCAATCGATTAATGAACCGCGAAAATAATCGATTATATTATACAAGAAATACCCCAGCACTAAATCTATTCCGTTTCACACATTGCGTACATTAAATAAAAAATATTTTTACATCGTATTTAATTAAAATATAATCAATAGACTCAGATTTTACTATATATTTCAAGACAAGTAGTTAATTTTTTTTTATTATATTGCTAATAAAATACAAATATTTTTTAAAAAATTTTCTGCATATGTAGTATGCGTAATATGGATAACCTTGAAGTGTCATACGGATCATCTTACGTGAAAAAGACTATAATTTCATTCAGTATTTTCAACTTTGAAACTTCTCCAATCCCCATTTATAAAGCAGCCCAGAGATCCAGTAAAAACAATTCTAATCTATGATGATGACTGACAACTGTGCTGACACAGTGACAACCAAAACTGACATTGAGAAAGTTTGTTATTTCTATTTAATTTTACTGAATAATTATTAAATCAAGTATACAATGAAACTCGCAGGACCAAATCATCCATTTGTAGTGTGGGCAGCTTGCTTGTTGTGGCTCACTTCAATGTTTGCTATAGCTTGGTCATTGCTCTTATTTTTTTGTAAGTTACTTACTCTAGTAATTTGATCTCCCGCTACTACTGCTTGTGCGTGGCAGGGTGCTCCCACATCGTTATTCAAGTTTTGTATGTAGGTACACCTACGGTATTTGAGATTCTTTTTCAGGCGTTGGTGACATACTATTGATGACTGGCACAGACTTGGTCAATGCATTTGTACTGCTGTCTGGAATTATCATGCTTCCGACGAATGTCAGCATGTTATGCTCCGTTGCAAATAGCAGGAAAATTGAGTTAGACATTTTATCAATCCTGTTATTTTGTTAGGGGCTAAGCTAGTTAGTTTTAATTCATGTATAATTATTACAGCCACAAAGCAAAGGTAGTATGTTGTCCACTATGGCTGAGTATAGTCTGGGTCATAATAATTAATTTAACCGCTGCAATTATCTGCATGATAAAAATATATTCATGTCGTGAATTAACTACCAAATATCTAACTAATGGCATGAAACAATACAGAAGTGTTCCGAAGTACAAACACTTCATGGATAATTTGCAGTGGTCGCTGAAATGTTGCGGGGTAAGGGAAGCAAAACAGTCGTGACTTGCTTTTGATTATGAAATTCCCAATGACTGTTTATTATTTTTATTATTTTTCAGCTTAATTCTTACAGCGATTGGTTTTCGCATGACTGGTATGACAAAATTCGTGATTATGAATGGGATCCTTCTTTGGAGAGACGCAATTCCATCATAAAGAGAAGCCCCTTAGTGGCAGATAGTGTGCCCTTGAGGTTTTTATTAAATACCGAACTGTTTGTTTTTAATTTATTTATTTTTTGGCTCAATTTATTGGTAGGCAGTCAACATCAAATAGTTCGTGACACCCTAAGTAGCCAAAAAGTTCTTAGGTTGTGTTGTCAATATTTTTGGCCACTTTTGGAGTCGCGAACTTTTTGTCGCTGATTGTGCCTTATAACAAATTAACAGTTGCTGTAAGAGTGGATCCTGCATATCGAATTATCTGACAGAATTGGGGACGTACTCAATAAACACAACTGGTTGCGGCCCTTTATTGTATCGTATTGTGATGATCTCCATGAATGGTCACCTCGTAATGTTCCTGTTGATAGTCATTATTGAAGTAAGCTAACCAGCATTTTAGATAACACAACTTCATAATAATACTTATCGTTGGTTCGTTCGTTTCAGCCCA